CTTTATTTTTTCTGACTTATCTTCAGCTTCCCTGGTTCCTCTGTGATTTCTCCTTTTCCTGTGAGCTTATTCTTAATTGCTGGAGATTTTCTTCCTTCTTTTCTTTTTACTTAGTTGTTATTTTCCAGATTGTTTTAATTACTTTCTCATCACTAAGACAAAATATTGGATACCTGCAAGTTACAGAAGAAGAGATTCACTTTGGCTCCCAGTTTACAGAGGTTTCACCATGGTCAGCAGGGCGGTGTGGCAGAGGAGAAACTGCTCGTGGCACAGCAGGCGGAAAGCAGCCCCAAACTCAGTATTTTAAATGCCCACATTTCATGATTGTTCTTTCGCAGACATTTAGGAAGTGAAAGAGAGTTTTTGTGATGGAGTAGTTTGGGTGTCTCCCTGTCGTGCTACAATGTTGCTCGCACAATAGGTTTCAGCTGCTCCTGTGCCTGTCCCACTGTAGGTACCTGCTGGGCAATTGAGCTCCTCCCCTACTCTGGAATCCTCCGTAGCCTTGAGCTCCACACATGCCTTCGTGGGTCTTCTACTTGTGGCTTTTACACTGAGGCTGCTTTCACACACTAGAGGTCCTCAGGTTTCTTTGGGCAATGACAGTGTACTCGAGAGTAGCTGAGGTGTTTTGGATTGCCCCAGTCAGCCCTGGCATTACTGAAATCCAACTTCTTGCATACTGGGGTACAGAGGGACAGCCCAACTATATTCTGCCGTTCTGCATCTTCCTCAGTTCTTAAAAGTTATTGTCAGATTTAGGGGTCTGGGGATTTAGCTCAGCGGCATAAGCACCTGCCTTGCAAGCAGGCAGTCATGAGTTCGATCCCCAGTACAAAGGAAAAAGGAAAAAGACAAAAAAACAAAGTTATCGTCAGATTTATCTTGTGCATTTCAGAGAACCCACTCCAGGGGACTTCATTTTCAAGTACAATAGCAAGATTCAAACTCCCAGACATTTTTATTTTTTTGATCCCAGAGATTGAAACCAAGCCTTGTGAGCAAAATATGTGCTATGTACTGCTGAGCTACACTGACAGCCCCAAACCACCCTTAATGGTTTTTTTTCCCCTTCTCATGGCACAGGGGATTGAACACAGGGCCTCACACTAAGCTACATACTTAGCTCTTTTTTTTTTTTTTTTTTTTTTTTTTTGAGACAAGATCTTGCTAACTGCCCTAGCTGAGCTCAGGGTATGGATGTATACCACCACACCCAGCTCTTTTTTTTTTTTTTTTTTTTTTTTCTTTTGTACATTCTTACTAGGTTTGAACCAGACTGCCCTCAAGTTGTGATCATCCTGCCTCAGTTTGCAAGTAACAAGGATTATAGAGCTATGTGTTGATGTAGCTCTAGGAAGTGTGTGTGTGTGTGTGTGTGTGTGGCCTTGGATATGTCAGGCACGTATTCTCCCACAGAGCTGCATTCCCAGCTAGAAGTTCATTGTTCTTTTGGGTGACAGTTTGGGAGTGAGGTGCATCTATGTGAATATTTTCTATACACTTTCCTCCCCAGGCATCTCACCTCAGATGGAGGTCACCTGTGTGCCCGCTCCTACAAGCACAATGTCCTCCATAGGTAACACAAACGGTGAAGAGGTGGGACCATCTGTCTACTTGGAAAGGCTGAAAATCCTCCGGCAGAGATGCGGGCTGGACAACACAAAGGTACTGCTCCTGCCTCGGGCTCTGGGAGGGCAGGGACATGGCCCCAGCACAGGCTGGCCAGGGCAGTGACTCAGCCGCAACCTGTCCTCCTGGTCTGAGATGGCATCCCCCTCTCTCTGCAGCAAGATGACCGGCCTCCACTGACCTCTTTGCTTTCCAAGCCCACGGTGCCCCCAGTGGCCTCCTCCACAGACATGCTGCACAGCAAGCTGTTCCAGCTGCGAGAGTCCCGAGAGCAGCACCAGCACCCCGAGCTGGACTCCAATCAGACCCACTCAGCGGGCACCGTGACCTCCTCTTCCACCACCACTAACATCGACGACTTGAAAAAAAGACTGGAGAGAATAAAGAGCAGTCGCAAATGAAGCTGCCATCCCAGCCCCTGCAGCTTTAGTTTACTAAACTAGAAGCCCTGCTCGTGTGACGTGGCCGCGCAGGCCGAGTGTGCACAAAGTGGCTGTAGGTGTCGGCCAGCAGAGGAAGTGGTGTGGCAGTCCCAGGTCCCCACACGCACACAGCCATCTGTGGATTAGTTAGTGTACAGACTTGTAAACAGCTGCCCCTCAGCGCACACCAGTCTTCATGGCCTTTTTCTGTTCTTTTCTTTTCCACCACTCATTTGTAAAATTATCCTACTCTTTCTTAGCTTTGAACTATTAGAACTCTTTAATAGTTTTTCTTGAGTTTGTGATCTCTTCTCCCTGTAGCCCTGAAGGGTCACTGAATTCTGTATGAATGCATGGCATGAGGCAACTAATTTAAGAGTCTTTTATAAATAAAGTTTGCATTAACTACACCTGTCTCCCAAGATGCTCCATAGCCCGGAGTGCTGGGCTACTCTTTCAGTCACCTGACTTGACACCAGGACATAGCCAATTGAAGAAAGGTTCATTGCTGTCTGGGGATCCCTGTCTTTTTCTGGCTCAGAGACACAGGGCATCTGTGACTCGCTTGGAATGGAAGGGGCTTACCTCATGCTTCCCACATGAGCCCTGAGGAAAACAGACAAATCTCATCATGCTCCCAACATGAGCTTTTGGTCCCATCTTCAGCAGCCAGGGCTGCCAGGAACTTGCAGGTAATCACCTGCCTTGCAGCTCAAGTGCCCGGCAAAGCACGCCCATCATCGGCCAGCCTTCGGGTTCCCACAGCACAGCTGCAGGTGGGCTTCTTCCTGGATGGAGCTGGAGAACATGTTCTTTTCCTGCCTGGAGGCCTGCATCGCTTTGCACCTAGACTAAGAGCTGCTTTGCACTTGGTCTGCATTAGGACCAGAATGTGGACTAAGGATTTACCTCTGGAGCCAGGACTGCAGGCTAAGAGCTTCTGAAGTTGGGAGACACAGGACGAGAATAGAGACAGAGTGTGGACCCTTGGTGTTCTCCTGTTGTTCCAGCTGTCCAGTTGTCCCAGGAGATAAGCCTGCCTTTCTCTTTCCTAGTGGCATAGTGTTCATGGCAGGGAAGGTGGCAAGAGGACATGAGCTCAGCCATGAACTGAGTTAGCACAGCTATGCTGAAAACCCCGAGCGATGTGGGAGGGAAGCTATATGCGCAGCCCCAAGCGCTTCCCAAGCAGCTTTGGGTATCATGACCACTTCTGGTTCCCTTCCCCAATCCAACTAAGGCCCTGGGCAGCCAAGATCCCACAAGCAACTCCACTCCACACTGTACCCTCTCATCCACTCAACCACAGCCAAGGGTCAAGGACAGAGCACAGCGTTCCAGCCTCTGTTCCCTTCTGTACTGAACACAAAGAAGAAAGAATGTGCCCCACACACAGAAGCTGAAGGGCCTAAGCCTAGGACAGTCATTGCATGAAGTCCACGCCTGCAGACCCAGGCCAGGCCCATCCCTGTGAACTCCCAGCTCCAGTGCCGCAGGTCCTGAGTGCTCCATGGCACTGTACTCTCGGACTGCCAGGCCGGCCATGGCTCATCACCTTGCTGCATCCCACAGGGTGGCCTCTCCAACATAACCCTGAGGAGTGTGCTACGCATCAGGTTTTAAATCATGTCACATTGCCAGATGTGCTGCACGCCTGTAATCCCAGTACTTAGGCTCAGGCTGTGAGGTCAAGGCCAGCCTAAGCTGTATAGACTCTATCTCAAAACAAAAAATCCTGTTACTTTATGTTCTTTTGGCTTTTTATGGTACTGGTGATTGACAAAGACTTTTTTTATTTTTTGTATCTGGAATTGAACTCATGACCTCATGCTTGCCAGGCAGGTGCTTATGCCACTGAGCTAAATCCCTGACCTGAAGACCGTTGCACTGAGCCCTGTTATTTTTTTGAGACAGGGTCTTGCTAAGTCATTAAATTGCCCAGGCTGGGCTTAAACTTGGGATCTTCGTGCTTCAGCCTCCCAGAGTACTGATATTGCAGGTGCACATCTCCATGTCTAACATTTTAATTTGTCCAGACCCATTAACATACCCTTAGGGCCTGCTTCCTAGAAAAATTGCTGCAGTGTGAAAATCGCTGTCTGGGGGCTGGGGATTTAGCTCAGCGGCATAAGCACCTGCCTTACAAGCAGGCGGTCATGAGTTCGATCCCTGGTACCGATAAAAATGAAAAAGACCAAAAAAAAAAAAAAAAAATAGAAAATCGCTGTCTGAATTCCAGAACATAACACCCCTGCTATGCCGCTTGTGGGAACTAGAAGGGGCCAAAGCAGCAGAGGAGCGGGAAGCACGCCAGTGCAGTTTCCAGGCAGGAGCTCACACTTCGCATCATGTTGTCATTTCTCACTCATGCTGGCGTGGTGGCTCAAGCCTCTAATTCCAGCATTCAGGAGGCCGAGGCAGGACTGCGGTGAGTTCTAGCCCAGTGTGTACTACAAAGACCCTGTCTCAAAAACCAGAAACTAAAAGTAAACAAAATGCAAATGTGGGGTGAGCTGCTGACCATGGTTACCCCTAGCTTGGAGCTGGAATCTGAACCGTAGAGGCTGCTGAGCACTGTCTCTCAAGACTCATGAAGGCGTCAAGTACTGAGCAGCATGGGCTGGCTTGGGCCATTGCAGAGCAATCGCTGGGGACCACAAAGCATGACCACTCACCCCCACTGTGCCCTCCTTCTGCCTGAAACAGCCCCACTCCTGTTTCAGTCCCACCCTGAGTTCTTAGCTCTGTGACTCTGGACAAGCTTTCTCTAAGCCTCAATTTACCCACCTGCTGGTGAGCACAGGCCCCATCTGCGCACAGCTGGACCCTCATGTGCAGCTGCCCTCCCCTTCCCAGCCGGGCATGTGTGGCCCTGCGGTCTTGTCCCCTCTCCCGTCCTCGGCCCACCTCACCACCCTGGCACTGCACCCGGAAGAGATGGAGCCCAGCTCACAGCCACTTTTATTGGAACCACAAAAGTACTCTGGGTGGACTGGCACCCGAATGCAATCGGGCAGGAAGGAGCCATCCTACTCAGCCCGCTCGATGACCTTCTGGATCCACTTCTTCAGGCGGAACACATGTGTGTAGAAGCCGTACTTCCCGTCCCGGTCACAGCCCTCGCCCCAGGAGACGATGCCCATTTGGTACCACCGGTTATTGAAGGAGCTCTGAGGAGGAAAGATGGGTTCCAAGAGTGTGTCCAAGGTGGCACCCAGGCCCACCAGCCTCCAGCCTAGAGGAAGTACCTTCATGACAAACGGGCCACCACTGTCGCCTTCGCAAGCATCCCCTCGCTTCCCTTCCTGAGGCTTGAAACCTTGAGGGAGAAAGTGGGCTCAGAAACCCATCCCCGCCAAAAGCCACAGCCTGGCCCAAGAGCACGCACGTGCCAGTCCTCCAGCCAGTGTCCCCAACCGGTCAGTGAGAGCAGCTTCATCCCCACCCCACCCAACCCTGCACCTTCCCGCTAAGCAGCACCCCACCCTTTGTATTCGCTAAACCAGGGACTCACTAAGCTGCCACAGGACCCAGGCTGGGCACCAACCCTCCCTCCCTCAGCCTCCCAGGGTGCTGGGTTTACAAGTGTGTGCCACCGTGCCTGGCTGAGAATGACTTAGAAAACAATTTAAAAGAGAAATAGAATCAAAATGCGATGCATTTCTTACTTATTTCAAGCATGTATTAAAAAGGAAAGGAAGGTCAGATTTATAGGTAGCAAGGATAATGGCAGTTTCCTTTACAGAAAACTCCCTGCATGTCCTCTAGTCTAGAACAACATAAACAGTTATAATAAGCTGGGTATGGTACATGCATGCCTATAATCCCAGTGCTCAGGAGGCTGAAGCAGAAGAATCACTGTGAGTTTATGACCAGCCTGGGCTACGTAGTCAGTTAGAAGGCCAGCCTGAACTAAGTGAAACCTTATAAAGTTAAAAAAAAAAAAAAAAAAGAAACCAACTACAATAAAACCCACCCACAAAAGCCATGCTGTCACCCTAACTAGAATAGAGGAATACCCAAACATCAAGTTGCTAAGTGTACTTAACTGTGCATCTCATACTAAAACTTTTTTTTTTTAATCGGTACCGGGGATTGAACTCACGACTGCACACTTGCAAGGCAGACACTTATGCTGCTGAGCTAAATCCCCAGCCCCTAGAACTTAATGTCATGGTGAGAATGGAAAAATGTCTGCTTCATACACGCACAATGGAATCAAATTCGGAATGCTGCAAAAAACACTAAATTACAAATACATAGATAAAAATTAAATAGACTTATGAAGAGATTCACGAAAAAATAAATAGACTCAAAGATACTATAGGAAACAAGACCTCAGCTAGTAAAATTCTCTTCTAACGCCCAACCACAACACAGAAGAAAGCCATAACTGAATTAAATATCCTCAAGCAAACTTGTACATGTGTAAAAAAAATCTTGAATCAGAAATCCAAAAATGAAAAGCAAATGGGGTCTGGGCACAGTGGCCCATGCCTGTCAACTCAGCGACCTGAGAGGCTGAGGCAGTGGGTGGCCACCTGTAAGCCATCCTGGGAAATTTAGACTCTGTTTAGAAAGAAAGAAAAGACAAGAAAAAGAAAGAAAAAAAGAAAAAGGAAGGAAAGAAAGAAAGAAAGAAGAAAAGAAAGAAAAAAAAAATATATATATATATCTCACAAATGAAGGCTTGATATCACTAATATGTGAAGAAGTCTTAAAAAATTAGCAGGAAAGTCAGGTTTGCTGGCAATGCCTGTAATCCCAGAACTCGGAAGGCTGAGACAGGAGGATCGCCATGAGTTGAAGGCCAGCCTGGGCTACCTAGTGAGACTGTGTCTCAAAAAACAAACAGAAAAAAAAGTTATCAGTCTTTAAGCATAGGAAAAGATACCTATGCTTATTTTCAGTTAGGAAAAAAGCAAATTAAAACTGTTGTGATGCCATTTCAGCTGGAAGAGAATTATGAAGCAAGCCCTAGGGAATGGGGGATTAGCTCAGCGGCATTCGCACCTACCTGGCAAGTACAAGATCATGAGTTCAATCCCAGGTACAAAAAAAAAAAAAAACAGGCAAGAAGCAAGCTCTTCTATGGCCAGGGCTGTGGGGCACAGGCATGCACCTGCCCTGTACACAGATGTGCACATGGTACAACCATGGGGAGAAATTTGGAAGCAGTCAACAAAACTACGTGTTTACCTCCAGACTTGGCAACACCACCTCAGATGCCTCTGGTGACACAAAACTAATGCTGGAGGGGATTCCTTCTGGCACTGTTTGGAATCACACAGTACCATTGTCAATCCAAGGGCCCGCAGAAGGGAGGCTGAATAGTCTTAAGTGTGTCCGAGGCCAGTGGTGTGTGTGTGAGGGCCTGCCTCAAGGTGGAAGGCCTCGGGATTTATTCCTGGCACCAGAAAGAAAAAGAAAGAAACCCGATACAGTAACGTCTGCATCTGGAGGATGGTGGCCGCCAGAATATTTCAGTGATACTGAAAAGGCAGCAAAGTACCAAACAGCATTTGCACCGTCTCCCTGCATGTAAAAATGGGAAATAAAATATACAGTGTGTGCTCATTTGTGCAAAAAGAAACAGGAAGAATAAACCGCAAAGCCGGGGATGGTGGTGTATGCCTGTAATCCCGGCACTCCAGAGGTTGAGGCGGGAAGATCTCTGAGGATTCAAGGTCAGCCTCAGCTACATAGTCAGTTCAAAGCCAGCCTGCCCTACACGCTGAGACCTTGTCTAAAAAGAAATAAAAATAAAAATAGAATGATCCGTTTCGGGGAAAGGATGGAAATGCTGCCAGGAAAGAAGACTGTCTCTGTCTGGGAAGCATCTGTCCCAACAGGTCTGGCTTGTACCATGTTTCACACGCTCCAGAAATTAAAATAGATGGGCTACAATTGGAAACTAGTAAGCCTGGTGACTTTAAATTGCACAAGCAGAGGGAAATAATTAACCCAAGTAACTTTTTTTTTAATTTTTTTTTTTTTTTTTTTTTTTGGTACCGGGGATCGAACTCACGACCGCCTGCTTGCAAGGCAGGTGCTTATGCCGCTGAGCTAAATCCCCAGCCTCCCCCCCCAAATAACTTTTGAACACACTATCTCGTCTCATCTGTGTACTCTCAGAGGAATAACTACTAAGAGGCATTGACCTCAGCTGGGTATGGAACCTATAATCCCAGCACTCCAGAGGCTGAGGCAGGAGGCTGCTGCAAGTTCAAAGCCATCCTGGGCTCCATAGTATGTTCCCGGCCAACCTGATTTACATACTGAGACCCTGTCTCAAAAAAACCAAATGAAACAAAAAAGGAAATGTTGAGCTCTAGTTAGGGTTCTCACAGTGCTATAGAGGATTCCGAAACTGTTCTTGTGTCAACCAAGTAAATCTATTCTGGAGACAGGGAGGCGAGTTTCTAACTGAGAACAGAGTCACAAATATAGGAAGAAGCCAAAATTAACCTTATGGGGTCAGAGTGACATCAGAGTTTCAGTATGAATTGGTAGTTTTTAACAAGATTAAAAAAAAAAAAAAAAAAAAAAAAAACAGATACAGGCCAGGTGTGGTGGCGCATGTCTGTAATCCCAGCACTCAGGAGGCTGAGGCAGGAGGATCATTACCAGTTCAAGGCCAGCCTGGGCTACAATAGTGAGTTCAAGGCCAGTCTGAACTGCATAATGAGACCCTGTCTCAAAAATAAATAAATAAATAGATAGCAAGCTCTTCCTTACAATAAAAATAATACCTGCATAAAGAATGACAGAAAGGGCCTGCCTGACAAGCATAAGGTCATGAGTTCGATCCCCAGGACCATCTGGTGAAAAGGCTCTGTTCAGCAGTAACATGCAACTCCCTACAATTTCACTCTAATCACAAAGGGCACAAGAGAGCCTAAGAAACCAGGAGGATAGGCCAGCCTCCCCGGACCCAAATCTGACCAGGAGGAAACCTCAAGACCACAGGCCTGGGGAGGCCCAGTGTGCACTGCCCCAGCTGTCCTTGTTGAGTGTCAAAGTCAGGAAGGTCAAGGAAGACAAACACTTACCACTTAGTACGAGAAGATGCATGACCCTGGATTGCGTCTCAGATGAGAACAACATTGTTTTTAGTAGCATAACTGACCAAAATTTTGAATAAGTTCTAACACATTAGACAATACTGTTGTACTGTTGTTGATTCTGTGGTTTTAATACTGGTGCTGTGTTTATGCAAGAGAATATCTTTGGAGCAAGGTGTGGTGGTACACATCTGTAATCCCAGCACTCGGGAGGCTGAGACTGGAGGATCCCCATGATTTCAAGGCCAGCCTGGACTACATAGTGAGACCCTATCTCAGAAAAACCAAGAAAAATAAAAATAAATGTCTTTTTTGTGTGCAAGTGCATGTGCCTGTCACACACCTATAAAAGGTGAAATCTGGAGGATAGGAGTATATAGAAATTTTTGTATTATTTATGCAACTTTTTGTGAGTCTGAACTTACAATCAAAATTTTAAAACCTTTTAAAAGCTCAGGCTGGGAGTGGAGCTCAGTGGCAGATCACTTAAACTAGCATGTGCAAGGCCCTGGGTTCAAGTATCCAGCCCCACAAAAAAAGAGAAGACCTTCTCCCTCCCTTCCTGCAGGACTCTGCTCGCTCCTCCCCTGCCCACAGCAGGCTCTGTGGCTCCCACGTGTGTGGTGACACCCCCCATCTCCTAGGGAGGAAGTTATCTGGGGACACAGGCAGCAGCTGCCTCAGTCCCTCTTGTATACCCTGGAACGCTGCCTAGGTCATAGTAGGCACTCAAATATTTGCTGAATAGGTGAATGTTTTGCTTTTTTCCTCAAGTACTGGCGTGAAACCAGAGTGTGTTAAACTATATCCCCAGCCCTTTTCAATGTTTTACTTTGAGATAGGTTCTCACAAGCTTGCCCAGCCTGGCTTCCAATCCTCCTGCCTCAGCTTCCTGAGGAGCTGGGATTACAGGAGTGCACCACCTCACTGGTCCACATTCGCCAGAGCTGGTGGCTGTGAGCCAGCGCGCCATGTGGACCAACCTAATCCTCCTGGCACCTCTCATCTCAGCTGTGCAATTTGTCTGCAGCTGTCCAGCTTTCAGTGCCACCCTGGGATCCCCTCGGGCACGCCATGCCCCTTCCCCATGCTCCCAGCGTGTGCTGCAGACTTGCCGGCACAGAACATGTTGTCGGTGATATGGATCCGAGTGGATGACTTGCAGGTGGACCGGTCCACGATGGGCAGGTTCACCACCTGCAGCACGCTGGGCTGCAGGTTGCCCGTACTGCTCTTCCACACCTCGCGCAGGTTGCCCCAGCCCGTCACCCGGCCTTTGTGGCCAACCTGGAGCAGTCTGCAGGGAAGGATGGGGTAAGTGACTATGACCAAGCCTCAGGTACCCGGCTGGTGCCTGGGAGCACAGCGGCGCACACCTGAGCACTGTCTGCTTGTCGGGCAGGCACACGGGGTGGATGTAGTCGCTGAAGGACACGGGTCGCTTGAGCTTGAGTAGCGCAATGTCCCGGTCCAGGTTCTCGCGCCAGTTGTAGCGGGGGTGGATGTGTATCTTCTCCAGCAGGGAGATCTTCTCCATGTTCCGCTCATACCTGTGGCCCGCGCAGACCAGAGCTGTGGGCAGGAAGGGGCCAGGACACAGGGCCACCAGGGAGCCCCCAGGGAAGGGCCAGGGCTAGCTCCTGCCACAGCTGCTGGGCAGCTTCTTCCCAGTCCTGAAGCCACACTGGGCTTTGGAGCCAGGAAGACAGGGACAAGGACAGGGACAGAGGATGCTCATCCTGGATGCAGTCACTATTTTTGGTTGTTGCTGTTGCTGTTTTTGAGGTAGGATGTCACTACATAGTTCAGGCTCCCCTTGAACTCGCTATGTGGCCCAAGCTAGCCTTGAACTCTCGATGATCCTCCTGCCTCAGCCTCCTGAGTACTGGGATTACGGGCCCAGCCTGAAGTCGCTCAGTGAAGCAACTCCCTCCTAAGCCTTGGCCTGGTGTCTGGAGTGAGGCTGAGGACAGACAAGGATTTTACTCCATCCCCAGCCCCAAGCTGGGTCAGGACACGGCCAAGTGGACTTTTCCCTGGCTACATCGCATCATGGGGAAGGCAGACGCCCCATGGGCTGCAGCCACCACGGCCCCCGCTCATACCTGCTGCGGGAGTGCTTGCCGATGCGCACCAGGAGGTCATTCACAGTGTAGTTCTTGTCCCAGGGCGGGTACAGGATACAGTGAGCGGCTGTGAGTACCCAGCGGTCACTGATGAGGCTGGCGCCACACAGCAGCTCCTGGGGCGTCTTCCGGAAGAGCATCACCTGCCTGGGAGGGCAGCAGCAGGTGGCTGTGAACCAGCTGGACAGCTAGGTGTGGTGAGGCCCACCTGGAATCCCAGCACTCGGGAGGCTGAGGCAAGAAGTTGCCTCCGCTCTGCCTGTGACTGAGTGATATAGCAAGACCAGTCTAAGGAGCAGCTGGCCAGGGCCTGGAGCTCAGTGTGACCACCCAGCCTCCTCCCACATGGGGTGCACACGGCCCCGAACAGCTCTGAGGCCAGAGACATTGGACTCCTCGCCTCCTGGGCATTGCGTGAGCCGTGTGTCCCAGGTGAGTCTCCGAGCCTGGGGACCCGAGATCACAGCTGTCCCCCAGAGTCACCTGCGGAGCCCAAGCAGGGCCCGTGAGCGAAGGGGGACCTGCAGGGGCCCAGCACACACCAGGGCGCACTGCCGATCTCCGCGTCCCAGCCCTCCACGATGCGCCCGTCGATGTAGGAGTCCAGCAGCTTCAATTCTGTATTGTCCTTCACCTCCTTCTTCTCGAACAGCGGGCGAAGCCCACAGTCTGCAGAGCCAGCCGGGTGAGGGGCCGCCTGCCACCCGCCCCGCCCCGCCCTGCCTCGCCCAGCCTCGCCCCAGCCTCCCTGAGCCTCACCAGCCTCCCCCAAGCCGAAGGTCTGCTCATCGAAGAAGGTCTGGAAGGCTTCTGTCGTGGTGCGGCCGCTGATGGTCTCCTCAGCCAGCCTCCTCGCTGCCTCCTCCTGTAACGCTTCCTCTGTGGAGACCCAGGAACTACTTTGGGCTGGCCCAGGCACTGCTGGCCAGCACCCCAGGCCCTCAGACTCTCTGCTGTCCTTGGTGGACGCTGGATGCTGAAGTTAAGAGGGCACACAAGGCTAGGTAGGTGGCACACATCTGTAATCTCAGCACTCAGGAGACTGAGGCAGAAAAATCACCACGAGTTCAAGCCCAGCTAGGCAAATTATAGACATACTGAGACCTTGTCTCAAAATAAAGTCAAATGGGGATGAAGCTCAGTGTGACAGTTCTAGATTCATTCTCCAGTTCAGAAAAAAAGAGTTGCACACAAGCCTGGGTGATTAGGTAATCACTCTCCCACTGGCCTCAGCTTACTCATCTTTGAAGTGGGCACAGGGCCAACCCCCATTGTTTCTGTAGAGCTGGAATGAATGCAAACATTGCCACACAATGAGCTGTGGCAAAGAGGCAGTGGCGCTGTCCCTTGCGTCTCTGCCTGCAGCCCTGCCACTTACCGCAGTAGTTGAGGTCACAGTACTGGAAGTCTTCGTTCTGGCCAGCCACAAAGCACCAGGCGCCTTCCTCATCCTTATTTGGGTTACGGCAGAAGTTCTCCTCCAGTTTCACCTCGGGGCTAAAGCCCTTGCCCTTGCTCAAGGACCTGGCCTGCTCACTGGCCCAGGGTAAGCAAGGGGCCCCCTGTGATGTCACCGCCAGGCGCCCCTGGTAGTGCTGGCCTCGCTCAGGCACACAGTCCTCTTGTGAAGGCGACACCTCCTGCTTGGTGCGCCTGGCACGGGGTATCATCTCCACGGTGAGGCGCCCCTCACCTAGGGCAGGACCAGGGCCCAGTGAGCGGGGCAGCCAGGGAGCCCCTGGAGGATGCCACGTCTCTGCTGCTTTCTGCTGTTCAGCCTCGGGCAGCAGCACACCCTCTCTGAGCTTTGGTTACCTGAGTCTATACTCATTTCAAGCCTGACACGGTAGCCTGACACCAGGTGCATGAAAAGTCCAAAATGATAACCAGGCCTGGGCCCCCAGCTGACTACACGGCATCCCTAACAGCCATTTCTGCATCCAAGCCCTTATTTATTTTGTGACAGGTTCCACAGCTCTAAACTGCTGCATTGCCCAGCTGGGCTCAACCCTCAATCTTGTGAACCTCCTGTCTCAGCCTCCCAGTGATGGGATGAGAGTGGGGCACTCCCATGCCTGGCTCTGGTAGTTGGCTTTGGTTTTTTGCTGGCTTTTTTTTTTTTCTCCAATTTTTGCTTTGTTTTAAGAATTCAGAGGCATATGTGAAGGAGTACAGACAGCATTATAATTCCAGAATTCAGGAGGCTGAGTCAGGAGGATTGCAAGTTAGAGGTCAGTCTAGATAATTTAGTAAGACTGTGTCTCAGAAACAAAAACAGCTGGAGGTGTAGCTCACAGTTACTGGGGCCCTTGTATTGAACCCACATTCAATTTCATGCTGGGAAGGAAAAAAAAGACTGTGTGTTTAACAGAACGCAGGAGGAAAGATTGCTGTGTGGACAGCAAGCCCATTTTGACAAGCTACCCTCCTGCCTCGGCCTCCCCAGCTGCTAGGATTCCAGTCTCCCTGGCTATCAGGCCCATTCCTTGTCAACCCCTACCCCACCTCGGGAGGTGACCCCAGGCCTTGGCACGGCCCCATGGCCCACTCACCGCACACGGGCACGCTGCACTCCTCCCTGCGCACGGTGGGGTCGGTGGTGTAGCACCAGGGCCCCGAGGCACTGCCATCCGGGTTGCGGCAGAAGTTCTCGAGCAGGCCGGCGCCGGGGTGGCTGCTTTGGTTCACTCTGGAAAGCGACAGCGCTCAGCAGGTGGCTGGGCCCAGGACACCCTCAGTGCCCACACCAGCCCAGACTCACTCAGGCCTATGTGGGTAGCGGCTGCTCCAGAGCTGGCACTCTATGCCTGACCGGGTGACATTCACCTCCCCGCGGTAGTTCATGCCCAGGTCCTTGGCACACTGACCTGCAGAGACCCTGACTCTGAGGCTGTGTCTCCTCTGCCCAGTGCAGCTCTCTGGTCACCTTCCTTAGCCATTCCACAGCCGTCACCAGAAAGCCAGCACTGGGTGCTGGGTGCCATGCTGGGTACTACAGCCACCTTGGGGACCATGACGGGCACCACCAGTCAGGGCCACACCCTCACAGGGCTTTGCTCTATGGCTTCCTGGGGGCAGCAGAGGGAAAGGGTGGCCCTGGGTCCCATCCCTTTCTCTCAGTGCTGCTTCCCCTGGGGGTGCCCTCTGGTTTGCTCAAAGTGCACCCTACAAGGTCAGGAGCCCCATCCCAGGATGCGCCCTGGACTGCATAAGGGCCAACGCTCCCTCCTGCCCCCTTGGCATCCAGGAATCACAGCAGTGAGTGTGTGGGTTCCATGCTCCTGTGTGACTCTGAGCTGTGTAAGGCAGGGTCTGAGTCCAGGTCTCTGAAGTCCTGCCCCTTGGCCCGGGGCCTGGCACAGGGGACACAGGACACAGGACACAGGACACAGAATGCCTGCTGGCCCCGCCTCTCCTCCCCAGGTCCCTTCCAGCCTGCCTGAGTCCGTGTGTCTGTCCAGTCTATCTGTTCGCTCCTCACCTTCCAGACATTCCATGAGGGTCTCCCGGGGCTTCCGCACTGACTGGCATGCTGGGAGAGAGAGCCAAGGGGCAGGAGGGGAGGGCCGGGCACATCAGAAGGAGGCAGAGGGACACGTGGAGGGATGGAGGGAGGTGGGATGGGGCTGGACAAGCCCAGGGCTCCCTTGGCTGCCCACTCCCTGCCAGGCGCCCCCTGCCCCTCTGGTGCTCACCTGTGTACTTGGCCCAGAAGGCATCCTGGAAAAGAAGGACTGGGATGAGCCTGGCAGGATGGTGCTTTCGGTGTATGATTTTTTGAGGCAGGGTCTCGCCGTGAAGTTCAGGTTGGCCTTCACCTCACCACGGAGCCCATCATGGTCTCGAACTCCCAGCGATTCTCCTGCCTCAGCCTTCCCTCAAGTGCTAGGATGACAGGCGCGCGCCATGACAGTGTTTTGCCTGCTTTTGGGGTGACCCTCACCCCCTCACTGGGGTGGCTCTGGGGTTATGGATGAGCCTCCTACTTTTGCTCCCCAAGAAAAGGTGATAGAGGAGCAGAGCCCAATACTAGGTGGCCCCTGTGGAGTGGGCAGGCAGAAGAAGCCATGCCCGGGGCTCCAGGCCTCACCGGGGCCCCACCCTGGGGTGGCACTGACGTGGCACAGATCCGCCAGCACCAGGTGCCCTGAGGCCCAGCGCGGGTGGACACCTCAGCCCAGACCCAGTGTCACGGTGCCTCGGCAGGTCTGGCACAGCGTGCAACATGGGCTACACAAGTGAGGCACAGGGAGCCCCGAGAGAGGCTGAGGGGCCCCCATCTTGCTGGCCCAGGGACCTGGGGCTCAGAGCAGAAGTTACAGAGAAGGAAACAGGTGCGGTGGAGCATGCCTGTCATTCCATACCCTGAGAGGCTGAGGCAGGAGAACCCCAAGTCCCACCCAGCCCCGGTCGGTCGCAGGGAGACTTGGGGGACGCTCACGGTGGCGCTGGCCGACTCCAGGGCCTCGAAGGCCTCCTCGTAGCTGCACTGCTCCTCCACGCACTCGCGCTCCAAGTTGCCCTTGCGCAGCTCCTCCAGGAAGCCACTGTTGGCCCGGCGCACCCGCTGTAGCAGTGACAGTGCCCGCTGCGGGGCCAGGAACACTGTGCAGGAGGCCAGGACATGGTCACCTACCTCAGAAGCTGCGCTGGGTGGCCGCCATGGGACACAGAGGGTGCAGAGCCCCCTTCCCAGGAGCCGGACAGGGAAGCCCCCTCGCCCTGCTCTGCCCCACCGAGCGACGCTTACCATCCTGGCCGAGCACGTCCTGGCTGAGCACGAGGCCCAGCAGGGCCAGAGCCAGGCAGCCAGGCAGCCGCAGGCCTACGACGTGCACCATCGCATGAGTGTGTCCTGCCAGACTCCTGGGGCTGTTCTGATCCTGCTGAGTTAATGTTGAACCAACATGAAGAAATCAGCGGACAGGGACAGGTCGGCGGGTCAGGGCCATGGTGACGAATGGTCCACCCTCACCATCTGGAGGACAGGTCCTCCTGGGGCCAGGAATGGACAGTCTCAGGGAGGAAGCTGCAGAGAAGAGGTCAGGGCTCCTCACTCCCTGCTGTGTGGGTCTATGGGATTTCTCGGGCTCCGTCCAACCCTCAAAACACCGGTGGTTGCTTTCTTGTGGGTGGGCCTCAATCTCGCAATCTGTGTAATGGGAATATGGCTTTGTTAAGACTAAGGGGGATTAGGAATATAAAGCCCCAGAAATATGTTACATTTTTTTTTTTTGTCTTTTTCCTGTTTTTTATTGGTACTAGGGATCGAACTCACGACTGCCTGCTTGCAAGGCAGGCACTTACGCCACTGAGCTAAATCCCCAGCCCCTGAAATATGTTACATGTTTAATAGTCAACAGATCTTGCTGAGTGTGGTGGCCTGTAATCCCAGCGCTCAGGAGGCTGAGGCAGGAGGATTTTGAATTTGAGGCCAGTCTGGGCTACAGAGGAAATTCAGGGTCAGCCTGAACTGCATAATGAGACTCTGTCTCAAAAAGAAGAAGAGGAGGAGGAGGAGAAAAGCAATGCAAAATAAAGCAAAGTAAAGCTGCCCCTGTGCAATAAGAAGTCGGGACACAAGGACACAGAGATCCCTTCTCTGCTGATGGGGGCTGGTCCCTTTCTCCTCCTGGTTGGTCCACGTTTGTGCATGAGGTCACCTGTAGGAGGAGTCATGTGCAGGGCCTCTGTGTCTTCAGCTGTTCTCACCCATCTCCTGCTCTACTTCTGCCTCTGGTGACAGGTGACAGTGTGACAGGGTCATTTTGTCCCAGACCAGCCTTGCAGCTTCTGCCGCTACATAAACCCTGGTCCAGCTGCGCCTGCCCCTCCCCCATTTCCTATTTGCAAGGTAAATATTAGCCCTGGACATGGGCAGGACAGAGGGACAAAGAGCAGGAGCCTAGGCCACCACAGGCTCCTGCCTGACCTGCCTGTCTGCAGTGCGGCTATGGACAGTGGGACTGGGGGACCAGGCCTCCCATGTGTCAGTTTAATTCCCAAGTGGCCCACTTCCTACATGGTTTTATGAATATGCATAACATGTAAATATGAAAATGCACATGTATATTTTAAAGTTGACGTTTCACTGGCGTAATGCTCTTTTTTTTTTGGTATTAGGAATCAAACTGAGGATCTTGTGCTTGGCAGGCAAGTGCTGTGCCACTGAGCTATGTACCTGGCCCCCCGCCTTTTTTGTGACAGGGTGTCTGTAGTTTAGGTTGCCTTGAACTCACTATGTTGCCCAGGTGGGCCTTGAACTCACAGCGATCCTGATCCTCTTGTCTCAGCCTCCCAAGTGCTAGGATCTCAGGTGTGTACCACCACGCCGTCACAATTCTAATTATGTAACTCCAAATTCCACATGCACACCTGTGTGACCTACTCCTAAGATATACCAGTTTCAAACACTAGCAGCAGGGATCAGTCTTTTTTTTAATTTTTTTTTTTTTGGTCTTTTTCCTTTTCCTTTTTACCGATACCAGGGATTGAATTCACGACTGCCTGCTTGCAATCAGGCGCTTATGCCACTGAGCTAAATCCCCAGCCCCCGGGATCAGTCTTTTTTGTGTTTTTTACACAGTGTCTCACCATGGGGCCCAGGGTGGCTTCAGACTTGCATCGATCTTCCTGCCTCAGCCACCCGAGCGCTAGGGTGACAAGCGTGCACCACCACCCCTGGTCCAAGGCATTAATTATTCCTGCCTACATTCAGGCTTCACAGAAATAGACTGGTTGTATCTGTCTGTCTGTCCTCACTCAGTGTCTGTGGACCATTCACACTGTGTCAGAGGCCTGTCCTTTTTGACACTTGGTGATAGCAGCACACGGCATTCCTCTACCTGCATGTCAGTGAAGTTCCAGTTTCAGACTTGTTTAACAAGGGCCGCTGTGAACGTGTGTTGGTGTGAAGGGCTGGATGCTCCAGGAGGTCTTTTGGCACAAGTAATGACAAGCTAGCCTCTCAAGGGGCCAGACCAATTTACATACCCGGCAGCATGCTTGGGGTGCCAGGGCTTGAGTCCTCGGCAACACTCTGTATTCTTCCCCCCGAGCTACATCACCAACCCCTTTTATTTTTTGAGATGAGGTCTCCTTAAATTACCCAGATTGGCCTCCAACCTGCAATCTCCCTGCTTCAGCCTCCCAAATAGTCAGAATTACAGACATGCACAGATATTTTGCATATTTTTAATTTTTATTTTGAGAGCGTCTGATTGTATAGTGTAGGCTGGCCTTCAACTTACTTAAGTAGCCCAAGTTTACCTCGAACTCACAGAGATCCTCCTGCTACAGCCTTCTCGAGTGCTGGAATTACAGACGTGTGCCTTCATTTCTTAGCCTTTGGCTAAGATCAAGTGTGCAGGCATGTGCCGTACCTGGCTGCATATTTTTTTAAAAATCTCAAGGATTGAAATTTATGTATTTAGTTTCTGTGTGCGTGTGTGTGTGTGTGTGTGTATGTGTGTGTGCTGAGGCTTGGAACCAGGGCCTCCCACCTGCTTGACAAGCATTCTACCACTGAGCTAAATCCCCATCCCCTCGTCTCTAAGTTTTTTGAGACATAGTCTCACTATGTAGTTCAGGCTGGCCTTGAACTTGAAGTGATGTTCCTGCGTCAGCCTCCTCCGTGCTTGACAGGCTTGCGCCACCAGGTCCAGCCAGCTTGGACTCTATGTTCAGCTTGGACAACTGAACATGAACCTGTCTCAAAATAAAAAATATTCAGTGTGTAGCTCACCATAGCCTGAGGTGCTGGCTTCCTCCTATCCCTGCTCAGTGTCACCAGGACAGTCTTGCGAGTGGGTGGGGATATGGTGAACATCAGGCTATGGTCTGGGTGTGGGGACAGCATGCCCACTTCTGGGACAGTTCCATGTTAGGTAAGGAATTTGTCCCCAGCATACTCAGTGGAGACTGGACCCAGGTGTGGTGACATGTTTCAGAATTTGGGAGGCTGAGGCAGGAGGATCTCTATCTAAGTTCAAGGCCAGCCTGGGCTACAGTCGTGACTTCGAGTCCAGCCTGAACCACATAGCAAGACCCTGTCTCAGGAAACCAAACAAAGGCCTGGTGGGATGCTGTGCAGAGAAAGAGTGCGGGCAGGGTCCAAGAAACCAGCTGACAGAACTCATCTCGGCAGCAGGATTCCAGGCTGCAAGTGATGTGGCCTCCTCCCCAAAGAGCCTTCCACAGGCAACTTCAGACTCAGGCTCTGCCCAGAAACTATTCAGATTGGCCGGCCAGCTGGCTTCATGCCAGACGCAGACCAGATGTGGGCTGCTCATGACTCATGACCGAATTCTGGGAACTCAGAAGTGCCTCCCACTGAGTCCCTGCCGCACCCTTCACTGATCCTGTGGCACCGGCCTGCGTGTCTCACCCTCTCCCAACCTGTTTTCATCTCTAAGTCAAGGAACATGGCACCTACTTTGTAGAGCAGCAGAAAGCTGGAATAAGTGCTCCTCCTAGCAGTGGGGAGGCTGAGGCAGGCAGAGAGCAAGTTAGAGCCCAGCCTGACACGGAGACCCCGGCTCAAAACACAGATCACATGGCTGCCTCCAGTATTGTCTCCGTGCTCCCTCGGAGCACTCCATGGGGCTCCAATTCCTCTTCTCCTTTGAAGTGACTTTCAAATTCCAGCCCTCCTAACAGCGAGTATCACAGTCCACTTACTGCGGATGCTGACCCCTCCTCCCGTACCCATGTTCTACTGCCTACCATGACCCCTCTTCCAGGGTCAGAAGTGAGCCAACTCACCTCGGCCAAAGACCAGAATCCTGCCTCTTTGGGGTCCCAGAGAGCGAGCGCACCCGAAGTCCTCACGCCAGCCTCCCTGGTTCCCTCTGTACTCAACTACTGCCCTCCACCCCTTTGTCTCACTTGAGCACCCAGGGCTTTGTTCCATCGCCACTGCCCAACAGCTGGAAACCAGCTGCTCCCCAGATGTGTACTCTGGCACTCTGCAGCTGCTTAGGTGCAAAGTGACAGATGTGAGGAGTAGCACGGGGGAGGGGGCATCACTGGCTGGATCTGAACCCAAACAGCCCAGTTTCGGGCAGGACACTTCAGGCCCAGGTGCCTGTCACTGAGCATGAAGCAAGGTGATCCCATAGCTGTGTCTCTAGTTCACAGGGCCACATAGCGCACCCACTGCTCAGTGCCGCCTGGAGCCAGGCACATGGACAGCACAGATCTGGCTCTGGTCACCTCCCCAGGACAAGTGACTTCACAGCTCTCAGGTCATGTGAAAACCTGCCCGAGTCACCTGAAGCCTGAACTCCAGTGTCTTCTTCCAAATGAGCTCCTGACTGTCCCTCAATGGGCCTTTCCATTTCCTTTTCCTGTGGTACAGGGAGGCTGAAGCCAGGGCCTCCGCACTGAGTGACAGCCTCAGGACTTTTCTGTAGTTTTGAGGCAGGGTATTACTGAATCACACAAGTCTGGGCTGGAACTTGAGATCCTCCTGCCTCAGTCTCCAAGCGCTAAGATTACAGTACCACACCTGAATCCTCAGGGATCTTGACAGGCACTAGGCACTCAGGCAGGAGAGCAGTGCTGCCCACTGCTTGCAGGCTCCCTGGGTAGGGTCACTTTGGCCATGGTACCCACAAGAAGTGGCAAGTCCCACCCTCTGAGGAGTCAGTAAAAACCTCCACTGAGAAAGGTTCTGCCCGGCAGCCAGGCCTCATTTGGTAGTTCATAAACAAGGGCCACCTGAGATCTGTTTGTCACAGGAGACACCAAGTGACCCAGAGAGACCCAGACACACAAAGGCGGGACAGTCTTTGTCTTTTTTGAGATAAGGTCTCGATATGCAGTTCACGCTGGCCTTGAGCTCACTTTGTAGCCCAAGCTGGTCTCAAACTTGCAATGATCCTCCTGCCTCAGCCTTCCGAGTGCTGAGATTACAGACATGAGCCACCACACCCGAAAGCCGGGACAGTCTTTATGGGAAACACCAGGGTCAGGTGCTCATCCCTGCCGCTACCACCTCTGCTCAGGCACCAAAGCTCACAGCCCGGTGGATCAGCTCCAGGCTGGGGCTGGCCTCTGGCTCCTTGGGTGCTGCAAAGGACCTCTCCTGGCCCTTGGGACCAGCAGTCTCCAAGACACCGTCAGCCAGGGACCTGTCCCTCAGGCCACCCGAGGCTGGCAGCCCCAGGTCAGGCTGCAGCAGCAGTGTGGCAGGTGTGGAGGGCGCCCCGGGCTCTGCAGCAGGTGTGGAGGATGCCCCGGGCCAGCGGCTGAGCTGGTGGCGCTGGGGGCTCTGCAGGAGTCTGTAGCCCATGCCACATGTTGGGCAGCGGTAGGGCTTGTCCTCAAGGTTTAACCTTGAGGTGGTGCTAGAGTTTGGTGACCAGCGTGTAGGCATGGCCACACTGGGGGCATGGGAAGGACCGCTCACCCGAGTGCAGACACTCAGCGTGTGCGGGTCTCACAGCGCCTTCCCACACATGGGGCACAGGTGGGCCTTGCTGGTGTGTGTGAGGAGGTGGAGCCAGAGCTCCAGCCACTGAGCGAAGGCCTGGGCACAGTATGGGCAGCAGTGTAGGCGTTCCCCAGTGTGCAGCTGTGGGTGCCCTCACAAGTTGCCCTGCTGGCGGAAGGCCCAGCCACAGTGTGGGCACAGGGAGGGCTTCTCTCTGGTATGCAGCCGAATGTGGTTCCATAGGGAGCTCTGGGTGGCCAGAAGCTGCCCACACACGGGGCATGGGCACGGGGCCAGGGCGGGCACCTGATGGGTCTAGAGATGCAGCTGCAGGGAGGGCTGATGGACGAAGGCCTTGCACACTGGTTGCACACAAAGGGCTGGGTGCCTAAGTGCACTGCCTGGTACGCCCGGTGTTTGCGCCAGGTGCCGTAGGCCTTGCTACACTGCGGGCAAGGGAAGGGCCACACACCATGGTGGGCCAGCAACTGGGCTTGGAAGCTCTCCGAGCTGTTGCTCTTGCCATACTCGGTGCACAGGAAGGACTTGTGGCCCATGTGCACAAATGTGTGCTTCCTTGGGTGACACGCCTGCAGGAAGGCTTTGCCACACTCTCTGCACTGGTACTGGTGCCCCTGCCGTGGGGAGCTTGCTGGTGAGCATGGGGGGCTCTGTACGAGGCCGGGGGGCGGGGTTCAGGGTGCTGGGGCCCAGTCTCCAAGGCCTTTGTGTGGGATGGGCACGGATCACTGGGAACAGGAAATTTCCCAGCTAGGCAGGCGGGCTGCTGGGAGCCCTCTGACAAGGTGGCTTCCTGGCTCAGTGGGTTCTGCTGGGAGTTGAGTGGCTCTGAGGCTGTGGGGGTGGCTGTGCCCAGGGCAGGCCCTCCTTATACTTGCAGCCACCTGGAAGCAGTAGTCCAGGAGGTCGGCTCTCCTGGGAAGCTTGGTTCTGGAGGACCAGCATACGCTCTGCCTGCACGATGGGGACAACAGATGGCCAGGATCTGTGAGACAAGAAGCAGAGGCTGGGGGTAAGTCAAGTGTGACAGCAGCTGGCCTTCCTCAGACTGCAAGCTGTGTCTCTCCCAGCCAGCCCCTGCTCCTCCATGGGAGCAGTGACACTGGTCTCTTCTTGGCAAGAGGTGCACACTCTGTCTCTTTCTGTCCACTCTCAAAGCTCTGTACAAGCCCTACCAAGGATGGGTCCCCAGTGGCTCTGGATGCCACGCACAGGATGCCATTCAAGGCCTTACCTCCCCACTCAAGCTCTCACCTAATAAAGGAGCCCTGCCCCAACAGTAGAGAGGAAACAGAAGAAATTGGAAACTCTGTACACAGCTCACTTTCTTGTTACCCCAGTAGACTCATAGGAAGACAACAGTTACAAATCCTTTTCTTATTCCTTTGAAGGAAAAGACTCATCACACCCCAGTGTCTGTCTCCATTAAATGACAGTTTACAGTCTAAGATACTTTATATCAACTGCCTGAAAATTCTAGCGTTTACAGTGCCACCAATCCTACCAGGGTTTTTTGTTTGATTTGTTTTATTTTGTTTGAGGCAAGGTCTTGTTATTTGGTTCAGGAAGCTGGGCTTGAACTCATTTTGTAGCCCAAGCTGATCTCAAATTCAGAGCTCCTCCTGCCTCAGCCTTCTGAGTGCTGAGATTACAGGCATGTGTCATCACATGGGCCAACCTCAACTATGATGTCACAGTCCTGATTCAATCCTGATCAAGGCCTGTTTTCCCATCCCACAGTAACAGGTCCACTTTAAGCCACATTTTTAGTTATTTTGCATTGCTGGGAAAGGATCTGGAGCCTCGTACATGCTAGGCAACAATCCTGGTCCCAACCATGGTTTGAAAGGCACCTAAGATTCTAGAATTTTCTTGCAGTGTGGCACCATAAACTCTGCTTTGTCGCAGCACAAGTTGGCTGGGCGGTCCCCAGGGCAGCAGGTATTCTTTTGGCACATACCCATGGAACCCTCCGCTGCAGCCTTCTCGGGTGAGGCTACTTTTTGCTATATGGCTAACTCCACTTCTGCCACGGCCACCGCAGGCGTCTCCTCCTCTAGCCGAGGCTGTGAGGGGCTGGGGCTTTCTGGGGGAGCTGGAGACCACAGCAGCAGCTCCAAGCCTGGCAGCATGACCCTGTGCACCTGCAGGTGGAGCCACTCTTTGTGATCAGTGAACCAGGGCCACATTTCCCTCACTCTCTAGCCTTCCTTGCTGCACCAAGCTGCAAAGCAAAGCTTGGCTTCAAAAAGTGCACGAGAAGCCCGGCCCCTGGGAAGCCAAACTCCTAAAGGACATGCATGGGAAAAGATCCCTGCCTGGAGAATTACAGCAACTTCAGGTCCCATGCAGTTCTCTCCCAGCCAGTCACTAAGGACATTCTCAAGTACACCTTGTCCTGGAACTTACCTGGTCCAGGCTAACCTTTGCTCGAGCGCCAAGTGGAAGGTTCTAAAATAAATCAATAAATAGTAGGCATGGTGGCTCATGCCTGTAATCCCAGCACTCGGGAGGCTGAGACCAGCCTGGGCTACAAAGTGAGCTCAAGGCTAGCCTGAAATGCATAGTGAGACCCCGTCTCAAAAAAAAAGACAAAATAAATAAATACATTAATTCAATGTGCTTGAGGTGGGCAATAAAGGGAAGAAAGAGAAAAAAAAACTGGCTGAAATTTTGCCTAAGACAGATTTTATTTTATTTTACACAGGGTCTTGTGTAGTTCAGGCTGGTCTTGAACTTACTACTGTAGCCAGGCTGGCTTTCAACTTACCAGGTGATCCTCCTGCGTCGGCTTCCATAGAGCTGGGATTGTAAGGGTGTACCACTGGTTTCTGGCATAAATCTAAAATGAAACTCCTTTCAGGGATATAGCTCAGTGGCACAGCACCTGCCTGGCAAACGTAGGGTTTGATTCCTGGTACCAAAAATAAAACGAAACTCCTGAAAGTTTAGCACATCCAACTGCAAGACCCCATCTCAAAAACAAAACAACACAACAAATATAACCAGACATGTCCAAACCTCCCCGTCAAGTTTTAGTCACAGAAGGGAGATGCCCGACCCCTCAGTATTTCCTCCAGTCGTGGTTTCACTCCCTCCCCTTTCTGTGCAGAGGCAGAGTTCTCTTGCAGTGGCCGCCAGTGCAGTTCGGGCTGCAGGGGCTCCCCAACACACCAGACCCCCAAGCACTATATGTCCTTTCGAGCGAGGGACCCAGGGCCAGGCCCTGGGGGAGGCTGCTTAGTGCGAGGACGGCTCGGTTCGGCACTGGCGAGGAGTCTCTGGAACCCCGAGCGCAGCCTTCTCCCAAAACGCTCCATCCTGGGTTCGAATGCCGGCGTGGCTCAGTAGCTGCGGGGAGATCGGAAACAGTGAGGGGCGGGGAAAGGTGCAGGAGGCCCCGAGGGCTCTGCCAGGCCTCGGGAGGCTGCGGGATGCCCGGCTGGAAGGCTGTTTAGTTTAGCTTCTGGCGACTTGGAGGGCACCGGAGGTGGATCCTAGGCTCGACAGGGCAAGAGGCTGGGAGTAGAGAATAGACCAAGGGGCGCAGGGAGCATCTAGGCCAGGGCTAGGGTTCGCCTACATTGCAGGCCCCTCAGGAAACTAGGGTTTTCCTGCCAAAAGCGCCACCTCCATGCCGGGTCCGGAAAAAAACAAACAAACCAAATCAAAACAAAACCTTACCGGAAGTGAGCGTCTTCATCTCAGCTCCTCCCGGAAACTATCGTTGGTTTCCAAATTTCCTCTCTGAAAACAGTCCTAAAAGTTAAACTCCATCGGTATTCAGGACCAGGAGTTTAGGAGTGTTTGTGAGGCCACACTGTGTTAAGAAACAATAGTAATCTAGGAGTTCAAAGCCGTGCAGAGATTCGAGTATCTCAGAAAGCGGAACGAAGTGGTTCCACACCACTCCATTGAAGAGTGATGAGTCGGAAAGTTACACTATCCCTCCCTCCCGCAGGCATTTTGGCGGGAGAGTGCAGGAAGTAGGCGTGGCTCGTGGGAGGCTCTGTTTGGACCTGGCAGCGAGCCGGAAGTAGGTGGGAGGTGTGGCGGAACTGGTTGGGAATGAGGCGCCCCCGAGGGGGCGGTTCCCATTCCACTGCGGTGCCGGATGTTTGCAGAGCTTTGACAGGCGTGGCAGCAAGAGCAACCCGGGAGCGCGGTGAGCTGCACGGCGCGGGGTCTCCGGGTGGGGTAGGGCAAGGGGAGGAGTTGGCTTGGCCGACCCAAAAGATGGGGTCCGCATGGGAAGGACCCCAGCGAATCCGAGGGGAAGGCGAGGGTAGAATAGGGCCTGGGGGCCTGGCCTTTAGCTGTCGGAGATCCTGTCCCACTTGGGTTCCCGCCCCAGAAGACAGCCCCTTTCGCTGGCTTCTTCCCGCCCTCCGCAGGGCTGAGGCCAGGCTACTCGCTGTCAGGAGCAAGTCCGTAGGAGGGCGAAGTTTCTCGGATGTCCTCTACCGAAGCACTGAGGAGAGATCTGGGGGGAGCAGCAGTCTGCCGCTCACTAGACCACGCTTTCATGTCACTTTCTTAATTTATGAAATGAGATAATTGCACCCAATCCGGACTTTTTAAAAAAATTACGTTTTTATAATTATGGCGCCACGAATGGGAGGCCGATTGCAATGCCTGACGACGCTATTTTGTGTTGTTGTGTGTGTTCTGCACAAAGGGAAGATTAGGGAGAGGCTGTAGTTACCCTTTGGTGGCACTCTTTGAACCCAGAAAATCGAGTGAATGACAGGCACTTAGGGAACTGTGGAGGGATCTGCTTGCTGGAAGGGACTAAGGGCCTGCCTCTGAGGTCCTGCCTAGGCTGAAGATGTGCCTTCATCAGTTTGCTTGTTTTTTCTGCACCTCACTTTCCTCAAACTGTAAACTGGACTTATTACATGCCCGACCAGTCCTGCTGTGAAGTTAATCGTTTGATACTTTCTAGGCCCTCCATAAATGTTGGTCCCTTCTCCACTTAGGAAGAAGTTAATTCACTCGGTCATCTAATCCTTACCAGGCATTATTCTGAATAGGTTTTTGTTTGTTCATTAGTTGCAGCGTAGGATCAAACTCAGGGCCTCGTGCATGCTATGCGAGTGCTCTGCCAGCAGTGGTTCCTAAAACTGCATGAAAGATTTCATGCATTTTTACCAATTTTTCTTTGGGAAGAAATCACAAATACCAGTTTTTCAAAGAAGCCTTTCATTTGTCAACTGTTAAAACCCCTACTTAACATGACTGTCAGAAACTTTTTTTTTTGGTACCCGGAATTGAACTCAGGACCTCACACTGCCAGGCAGGGGCTGCGCCACTGAGTTAAATCCCCAGCCCTGTATCAGAGACTTTTTGTTTTTGTTTTTTTGAGACAGGGTCTCGCTGTGCAGTTCAGGCTGGCCTTTGTAGCCCAGGCTGGTCTCGAATTTGCAATGATCCTCCTGCCTCAGCCTCCTGAGTGCTGGGATTACAGATGTGTGCCACCTTACTTGGCTTCTCAGAGACTTTTGTAAAATGACCTATGTACTGAAAAGGAAAAAATAATCTCAGAATAGGAAATGTTTTGCCCAAAGCTAAATGTGACTTGTTACTGGTCAATGTCTCTGGTAGCCAGAAAACTTCATTTCTCTGACTTTGTTCTAGAATCTTCTTGGCTAAAATAAAATAAAATAAAGAATCTTCTTGACTAGGCCCTCCCAGCAAATGGGAGGCTTCTGAGTCAGAAAAGACCACAGCCATGGACTGGAGGTGGCCTGAGAGAGGGAGTGTGGCAGGGAGGTGGGAATGGTTGTGATTACTTACACTGGGAAAGGAGGTTAGGGGGATTAAGGGGAAAGTTCAGATCTGAAAGGATTGACTGAACCTCTACTGGAAAAGAGTAACTGGAGTTTGAATTCAGCTCCCTTTTAAAATAAATTTAGTTTGTGTGTGTATTATGTATGTGTGTGTTGTATCACTGGGGATTGAACTCAGGGCCTTCCACTGGGCTACAATCCCCAACCCTTTTTCTTTTTTTTTGGGTCTTTTTTTTTTTCCGTTTTCGTTTTTATCGGTACCAGGAATCGAACTCACGACTGCCTGCTTGCAAGGCAGGTGCTTATGCCGCTGAGCTAAATCCCCAGCCCCCCCCCCCTTTTTCTTTAAATTGCTAAGTCACTAAGTTGTCCAGGCTGCACTCAGATTCCTCCTGCCTCAGCCTCCCAGAATACCGGAATTATAGGCATATACCACCATGTCCACGTGCAGCTCCCTTTTTGTGGTCTCTGTCTTCCTCACACACACTTGAGCTTCAGGCTGCTACTTCTAATTCTCTCATTCACTGCAGCCCAAGTATTTCTCAACACTGGAGGATTATGTTTCTGGGAGGAGCTTTTGCTTCAACAGATGAGGACATTTAGGCTCAGCTAGAAACTGGATTTGCTCAGGATTTTGGCACATTTTCGGCCTAGGCAGGACCATAACCCAGTTCTCCATATACCGGAAGCCAAGTCTCTTCCACTGCCCACTGTGAGTAGAAAGACTTCTCTGGGTTAGCTGAGTGGGGCTGATGTCTGGGCAGTGCCAGAGCAGGAGGGATGTTGTTTTGAGCTGGATTTTGTCCCCCTTACTCGACTGGGAGCCCCCTTAGCTGCCCTCACAGCCTCCTGGGTGGCAGGGGAGGGGGAAGGCGTGGTAGATGAGAAGTAGCTGGATCACGATGGATGTCTTAAGGCCCTGTTTGAACGTGAGGGAGATCTTCTGGCCTTGTGGTGTCGCACACCTACAATCCCAGCCCTCAGGAGGCTGAGGAAGGAGGATTGCTTTGAGGTTGTGGCCAGCTTGGGCTGTACAGTGAGTTTAAGGCTCACCTGGACTACATAGCAAGACTGTCTCAAAAAAAAAAAAAAAAAAGTGAGGGAACAGGGCTTTCAGATAAGGACCTAAAAGTACACACCAAGGAAATGCATCCCTAGGGGCTGGGGATTTAGCTCAGCGGCATAAGCACCTGCCTTGCAAGCAGGCAGTCGTGATACCGATAAAAACGAAAAAGACAAAAAAAAAAAAAAAAAAGAAAGAAAGAAAATGCATCCCTGAGTGTGACAGAGCCATCCTGGTGCTCTTGGACAGGGACTTGTGTTTTGGTGGAAAGCAAGAGTGGAGGTTTGACCAAGGAAGACAGAGAGGAGAGGCTTGTGGCTGTTTGGTTTTGTCTTGGAGCTTGAAACAGCTCTTCCCACTGACTCAGTGTGGTTGCCCTGGTAACAGGGTGCTTGTTGCTAGGCACAGGGAGCCAGTTCACCATCCCAAGTTGGCTGGGACGCGTGCAGGAGATTGCCGTGTGACCTCAGCCCAGAGGCAGGGGCAGCTCTGGGTGGCCGCTGTCCCCCTCTCCCTCCTGCCTGCCCCAGCCCTGCCTGCCGTCCTTATCTGCCTTCAGAGTCTGACCATATATGTCATTTTTGGGGCTCCAGGAATGCAGCTGGCTCTCGACCAGCCTCTTCTCTGGGCTTGGGCAGTGGGGTTGCATTGAAAGCCCCCTCTGCCTTCTGGTGAGCCTGCAGTGGGGGAGGGAGTTGCGGGGTGGGGGTGCCCTTCCTGGATGTGGAGTGGAGAAAACTGATTCCCGCACCAGCCCTTTTCCCTTCCTTCCTGCTGCTCTGCCATCCACCCTCTTGTCTCAGGCCCCACGCTTTCTCATCTGTCGACCTTCCTGCCTCCAAGCCAGCCTCCAGCCTACTACCCCCCACAACTAAGGGGGGACCCTAGACCCTAGGGGCCTAGAGATTGTCTGCTAGGACTGGCGGGCAGATCCCATTCTCTGCTGGTGAGTCCACAAGTATGGCTTTATGGGACCCTCCCATCTCTAGTCACCTCCTCTTCCTTGGGCTCTGGAAGGGAGTACCCAGGGCCATAGCTGGCCCTTTTTTGGACATGGCATTCAGAGACCACTAGATTCCTTTTTGTTTCATGAGATAGAGTCTTACTACGTAGTTCTGGGTGGCCTTGAACTCACTATGTGAGTCCCAGCTGGTCTGAAACACTCAGCAATCTTTCTGCCTCAGCCTCCTGAGTGCTGAGATTATAGGTATACACTACCACACTTAGCTAGGAGATCATTAGATTCTTGAAACATCTCCATGCCTGTAACTGCTGGGATCCGTGAGGCTTCCATGCTCCCACACCCCTGAGGAAAGGAATGTGGACCTCGGCCCTCTGCAGCTGGAGCTGCACAGTGAGGTCAGATGGGTAACAGGCAGTGCGGGACCTGGCACGGCACTTCCTACCCAGCTGAGGACCGAGAGCGAGGTGCCAAGCTGTGGCCCCCTCTGCCAGCTGCCTTTTCTGGCATCATGTTCCTGGAGTCTTGCAGGCTGAGAAGCTTTCAGGAACGGACTAGGAGCCAGGAGAGGGGGTTGGGCAGTGGGAAGGCTGTTGGATTCTGGAAGGTGACAGAGGTGTCCCTGGCCCCTGCCCCACCTCCCCAGGTTTGTCTCAGGTTCTGCGGTAGACTCAGCCATGGACCCGCTCTCCGAGCTGCAGGATGACCTGACCCTCGATGACCCCAGTCAGACCCTGAACCAGCTCAAGCTGGCCTCTATTGATGAGAAGAATTGGCCTTCGGACGACATGCCTGACTTCCCCAAGTCAGGTGGGTGCCAGTGTGTCTCAGGGAGAGCCCAGGGGCCTGAGGAGCACCATGGTCCTTAATGTCATGGCCCGGCCAGGGCACCAGCTTTACAGGGTGGGGGTGGGGGGGGTAATGCGCTATGCCAGCCCCAGTCACGCCCAGCTCTGCTGTCCTCAGATGACTCCAAAAGCAGCTCCCCGGAGCCTGTCACACATCTGAAGTGGGATGACCCTTACTATGACATTGCCCGGCACCAGATCGTGGAGGTGGCAGGTGAGTGGGCTGTCCCGCTTTCCTCACTGTGTGACTCCCAGGGTGGGGACAGGGACACGCTGGTACCTGCCCTGTGGCCTGAGCTCAGCCTCGGGCCCCTGATTGCACAGTCCTTTTCTCTAAAGCAGGGAGTTGATTGTGGCCACCATGTGCGGTGTCCACTGCCATGGCATCCTGCCCTGGGACCCACATCTCCATCTGCAGATGGTCACTGGAGCCAGTGTGGCCTGGTGGCTTTGAAGTCACAGAGTGCTGGCTTTGGTGTGGAAGCTTCCTTCCTTGTGGTCTCACTGAGAGGTTTACAGCTGATCAACTGTAAGCAGGGGACAGACTGGCCCTATACCCCCACCATAGGCTGGGTGGTACGCATCCTGGGAGCCACATAGTGCTGGCTTGGGCCCTAGAGCACCCATGCGCCTAGATGCCATGCTCAGGCCACAAGAGGTTGTAGAGGGACCTATCCAGGGTGTTTTTGTGGCATCTGCGCTGAGAAGGGGTCCTGGCCTTGGCTGCTCACCCTGTGGGAGAAACAGCTGTTCTTCCTGAGCCTTTCCCAATCTGGGAGCCATGCAGGAGTCCACTTTGCCACCTTCCTGGTCTTGGTCCAGCCTTGTGACAAAGCTGGGCAAGACAGTGCTCGTGCTGGCTCACTGTCCTCTTATTTCCCTAGGGTATGACGGGACTGAGGGCCCGCCTGAGAGGTGTCTGTCCAGTTCTCTGTGCTAGGCCTCCCCTGGGGATCAGTGTGGAGAGCAGGGAAGCCTTGTTGCCTGGCAACAGAAAACAGCAGAGTTGGTGGCAGGCAGGGCAGGGAGGAGGCGGCATGGGGACCGACAGTGCTCCTAGTTGGGTTCGGTGCAGTACGCTCAGGAGGGCAAGACAGGAGGATCAAGGCAAGTTCAAGGCCAGCCTGGGCTACATAGCAAAACTTTTTTTTTTTTTTGTCTTTTTCATTTTTATCGGTACCGGGGATCGAACTCACCACCGCCTGCTTACAAGGCAGGTGCTTATGCCGCTGAGCTAAATCCCCAGCCCAATAGCAAAACTCTTAAAAAAAAAAAAAAAGAAAGCGCCTAACATGGTGATGCACACCTGTAATCTCAGCACTCTGGAGGCTGAGGCTGTCAGTTTGAGGTCAGCCTACATGATAGTGTGAGACCCTGTCTCCAAAAAAATAAAAAAATAAAAATAAATAAAGGAAGAAACTGGATCAAGAGCTCTTGTGGGAAAGGAGAATGGGTTCCATTCCCTGTCCCCCTGCAAGGTGTGCTGTCCCCACCCAGTGGCTGTCACGCTGCTTGGTCAGATGGTCCGGGCAGGGCTTCAGGGCAGGCCATCTGGGGAGGGGAAAGATGGCCATCACTGGCAGTGTTTGATTTTCATTGCACTGCTGTGCCCAGCAGTTTAACAGCTTAGCAGACTGCCTGGGCTTCAGCCGCCTGCCCACCCCTCCTCCCTGTCCTGTTCTGCAGGTTCTGGTGGCAGGGCTGGGCACGCATGCTCAGGAGCTATTCTGTTGCTGATTAACCCTGCAGCCACCTGGGAGAGTCTCCACTGGCATCTGGGGGAGCAGAACCCCTCCCGCACTCTGTTGCGTTTCTTCAGTCTTCGGGCAGAATCTGCCCCTTTCTGAGGTCTGGCTGGGAGCCCTGGGTCTCCGTCTATCTTCTTGCAGCCTCCGCTGTCACTACTCTCCTTGCAGTGAAAGATAGGCCGCCAAGGCTGTGCTAGTGGTGCCCCGCTTCAGGGAGTGGGAGCACAGGGACTACACCCCAGGGTGTCAGACCCTCAGTCCTTGCTGTCTTGCTGTCTTGCCCCTGACCCCTTTTGTTTGGTTTTGGTTTTGGCTTCTGAGACAGGGTCTCACTATGTAGCCCCTGCTGGCCATGAACTGAGGTGATCCTCTTGCCTCAGCCTCCCAAGTGCTGGTGTGCGCCATCACACCTGGCTTCAGTTATAGATATTTATCTTCTTTCTGAAAACACTATGCATGTCTTTTCATGGCCCATCATAGAACCTGTGAGTCCATTCATAAAACACTGGTTGAGGACCCAAAAGCACCCCTTTTCCCACTTGCTTCCGTAACCATCATTGCCTCTGTGCCAAAAGAGTCCCCATAGCGGGGCTGGGGATTTAGATCAGTGACATAAGCACCTGTCTTACAAGTGCATGGTTGTGAGTTTGATCCCTGGTACTGATTTAAAAAAAAAAAAGAGTCCCCAGAGCTGCTGGCCAGTGAGAGCTGCCCTGTGGTCAGGCGGGGCCTGGAAAGTCTTTCCCAGGTCTCTGTTCCCAAGCCATTCCCTACTTGCAGACAAGCCCTGTGCCTAGATGGGGTGCCTGGGTGACCCCAGGTGCTTCCCGTTTGCTGCCCACTGGACCCTTTGTTGTCTGACTGCCCAGCAGTGGGAAGTGAATCAGGGTGGGCAGATGGCCCCAGTGGGAACCCAGTGCCTCAGGATCAGGTTCAGGAAGGGAACAGGTGGCCCCCACATCCCCTCCACACAGGCACAGAGAGGATTCTCTGGGTGTCAGTCTGTAGAAATTCTGTCTGAGGTTTAGAGAAGTCAGTGTTATTAGAGGTCAACTCCTAACTGGAACGTGAAAGGCAGGCAGAATTGTGGCTGTGCACACCAAGTCATGGTGACAACACTTGCTGTGAAGACAGGTTCACTTTGTCGTCCAGGATGGTCTCAAACTTAATGGCTCAGGTGATCTTCCTGCCTCAGCTTCCTGAATAGCTGGACCTATAGGCAGCTGTGGACACTTTTTGAATACCTACCATGTGCCAAGCCCTAGACTCAAAGACACATGAGACACAGTCCCACATGTGTAGTCCTAGCAGTGTGGGGGACTGAGGCAGGAGGATCTCAAGACTGACTTTAACACAGGCAATTTAGCAGCTTAGCCAGACCCTGACTCACATTGAGAAAGGGCTGGGGTTGCAGCTCACTGCACAGATCCTAGCTTCAGTTCCTAGTAGCAGAGGGGCAAAGAAACATGAACAGTTACACAAGGATGGTTTGCACCAGCAAAAGGGGCATGGAAAGGGGCCACACAGTCTGTGGGGGAGAAGGGCGGGATTCTGTCTGAGCAGAGTCCCCCGGGAGCCGCCGGAAGTGCCTTTGGGGAGAGCTCTGTGCCAGAGGTGTGGGGTTCGAGCCAGGCAGACAGGGCTGAGCCCTTGAGTCCCAGAGCTGTACAGGACATTCCCAGGCCGGGAACCTGTAGAGGGGACAGCAGAAAGGAGTCTCTCAGACATAGACTTGGGGCGGGTTGGGGAACAGAGCCTCTTTGTGACCCCAGGTGCCACCCGAGGAATTTGAGGAAGGGAGGAGGAGGGCAGGCTGCACTTTGGGCAGAGACAGGAGTTGTGGGGGCCTGGGTGCAGTCACAAAGGTCAGTGCTGCTGGCAGATCACGTGTGATTTTCCTGCTTTGTATAGCCCATTGGGATTGCATTCCAGGGGCTTCGCTGTCCACCACATGACTTACTTCAGCAGGCCTGGAAAAGCAAATGCTATTTCTGTACCTAGTGCCCTCAAAGTGACTGACCTTTTCTTCCTCTGTTTTTCTTTTTTTTTTTGGTACCGGGGATTGGGGATTGAACTCATGACCTTATGCTTGCCAGGCAGGTGCTTATGCCACTGAGCTACATCCCGGACTTTGCTCTGTTATTCTTTTCCTTTCTTTTCTTTATTTTTAAAGACAGGGTCTTGCTATGTAGTTTAGGCTGACTTTGACCTCGCTATGTACTCTGGGTTTGCCTCAAACCGGTGGCAATCTTCCTGTCTCAGCCTCCCAGACTGCAGAATTTGCAGGTGTTCACCACCATGCCTGGCTTAGCCCCTCTTTCCTAAGTGGCCCAACCTGGAGGCAGGTGGCTTCCCAGCAGTAGACGCCAGGATCATGCCAGGTCTCCAAGGTGGCACATGCAGTCCCTCTGTCCCTCCCTTGTCATCCGCCCACTGCTGTCTGTCCACACCTAGGTGACGACAAGTACGGAAGGAAGATCATTGTGTTCAGTGCCTGCCGGATGCCACCCAGCCACCAGCTGGACCACAGCAAGCTCCTGGGGTGAGTCCCTCCCCCTGCTCTCTGCTACCCCTCCCTGCTGGGCCAGGCCACCTCCCTTGTGCCTCCCCTCTTCCCTTGGGGAGCAGGAGTCAGCTGCTTGCTAGTCCTGGAACAGTGAAATTGGCAGGGATCCTTAGCTTCATCTCACATCTCAGGAGGGGTGGGAGTGCAGCCCTCTTTCGTCAAACAGTGGAGTCCCGTGTGTCAAATGCCTTAGAAAATGCCAAAAAGCTAGGTGTGGTGGCACAAGCCTAGGATCCCGATATTTGGGAGGCTGAGGCAAGACAGTTGCTTGAGTTCCAGGCCAGCCTAGACTACATGGTGAGACTCTGTCTCAAAAAGCAATAACTGTGAGGCCGGGGATTTAGCTCAGTGGCACAGTGCCTGCCTGGCAAGCACGAGGTCATGAGTTCGATCCCCAGTACCAAAAAAAAATTGTCATCCAAATCATTATTCGGTATTTCTGATGTCTGTTTGTCACTTATGTTCATAATTGTTTGTAAGAAGAGTTACCCTATTTAAAAATTTTTATTAGTGCACATTTTCTCTAATTGTAATGGTCACATTCTTCCTGGGGAGTCACGGCCTAGATACACAACTTCCAGCTCCCTCCTCCTCCACCCCTCCTGCCCTGTTATTGTGTTCCGTGCTGAAGCTGCTGCCAGGCATATGCAGCAGAGCCCCCATTTCTAACAACAGGCTGCAGACTGGGCACAGGCTGGTGCCCAGTCCTCCTCTGACAACCACCCCGGCAGGGATCAGAGCACTGCCACATGCAGGAGTCATAGCCTTTTTATTTTATTGTATTTTGATACAGGGGATTGAATCCAAGGCCTTTATACTGAGTCACATCCCCAGTCCTTTGTTATTTTGTTTTTAACTTTTGAGACAGGGTATTTCTAAGTTGCTAAGATACCCAGGCTGGGAGCTTGAACTTGGGACCCTCCTGCCTCAGCCTCCCAGAATGCTGGGATCACAGTTGCGCCTCACTGCACCTGGCCATCTTTTTCTTTCCTGACCAGGTGACAGCTCCCACTTGTCACTGGGGCTGGGTCTGAGGGTCTCCGAGGCTGAACTAAAGAACCGAAGACCACCCTGAGCTACATAGCAAAACACTGTCTCAAAAATAACAAAGCACGATTCTTCATTCTCATGTCTTTGTTGCCTTTCCACCTATATTTTATTTCTTCTCTCCTCCCTCAACAGAAATGTAACTTCCCCACGCAGCTGGAAGCAGTTCTTTGAGATCCTGAGGGGTTGTGCGTGTATAGGGCTGGGCTGGGCTTGGGGACAGCAAAAGTGCTGACACCTGAGTTTTGGTCTCTGCTGGTCTGGGCTGAGAGCCAAGGCTGACAAAGCCCTATGTGGGTTTTTTTCTGTTTGTTTGTTTTTTGGTTTTTGAAACAGGGTCTCACTATGTTGCCCAGGCTGGCCTTAAACACAGAGCAATCCTCCTGTCTCAGCCTCCAGAGCATGGAGATGATAGGTGTGAACCACCTCGCCCACTGGGGCCATGAGATCTGTCTCTCTGGCTCTTCCCTCCTTTCCTCCTGCTGCACTCAGGCTGAGAAGCTTGGCTCGGGCGTGGCCGAGTCACTGGCCTCCCAGGGGCTGTTTCTAGGTGTGTGCTGAGCCAGGTGACAAACTCCTAGCCAGACAGCACTTCCGGTGGGCGGAAGTCAGGCAGGATGGGGAAGCACCCAGATCACTGGGGCCACTGTGGAGGGAAACCACTGGGCTTCCTGCCTCCTGCTGTAGGCCTCAGTCCCTTCCGGGCTTCGTGCTGTCTGTGCCTATCGTGCCCTGCTTCACATTCGCATGCACAAACATACACATATACACTGCATACACACACACCACACACACACAAAGATGCCATTGTTTACATTTTTTTTCTTTTTTTTTAAATCTTTGAGATGGGATCTTGCTATGCAGTTCAGGCTGGCCTTGAGCTCACTTAGTAGCTCAGGCTAGTCTCAAATTTGCAACAATCCTCCTGTCTCAGCCTCCTGAGTACTGGGAGTACAGGCATGCACCAACACACCCACCTGTGTTGTTTACATTTTCAAAGTATTATACTTTTTTTTTGGTACTGGGAATCGATTTCGCAGCCTCATGCTTGCCAGTCAGGCGCCGTGCTGCTGAGCTATAGCCCAGACCCAAAGAATTATACTTTGAGAGGCTATGAAAATGTAAGCTATGAAAAAATAGATAACTATTAAAAAAAAATCTTCTGGGGGCTGGGGATTTAGCTCAGCAGCATAAGCACCTGACTTGCAAGCAGGCAGTCGTGAGTTTGATCCCCGGTACCAATAAAAAGAAAAAAGAAAAAAAAAAGTGTAAAAAAAAAAATCTGCAAATCTATTACCCAGAATACCAACCATTTTTAATATGTTGCTATATTCACTTCCTATTTTATGTAATGTATGTGGAATTAAATGATCAGTTGTGCAGTTTACAAGACTTTTTTTTCTTTTTTTTTTTTTTCCAGCTCTGAAAATTGAACTCAGAATCTTGCACTTGCCAGGCAGGCACTTATACCACTAAGCTATAGCTCCAGGCCCTTTTACAAGACATTTTAATCTTTGGGACATGAAACATTCCTCAAATGCATCCTCTAGTACATTGTATTGGGACAGGGATGTGATGCAGGAGAACAGTGCCTTCCTGGCAAGTGCAAAGTCCTGAGTTTGATTCTCAGCACTCTAGAGGCTGAGGCAGAAAGATTGCTATAAATTTGAGGCCAGCCTGGGTTACATAGCAAGAACCCGTCTTAAAAAAAGCCAAACATTTTTTGACATACCAGATACATACAGAAAAAACAAACTCCAAGTTTGCTGCGATTTTGTTACTTCCTTTGTCTTTCTTTCCTTCCCAAGGTCTCAATAAGTTGTCCAGCTGGCCTTGACCTGTGATCCTCTTGCCTACCAAAAGGCTGCAATCATGGCACATGCCATGTATCTGGCTTTCTCTTTCTTCTTTTCTCTTGTCTTTCTCCTTCTCCTTCTCTTTCTTTTTTCCTTTCTCTCCCCTCCCCTCCCCCCTCCCCTCCCCTCCCTCCCTCCCCTTCCCTCTTCCCCCGTCCCCCGTCCCCCAACTTTTTGAGACAGGGTCTCACTATGCAGTTCAGGCTGGCCTTGAGCTCACTTTGTAGCCCAGGCTGGCCTTGAACTCACAGCAGTCTTCCTGCCTCAGCCTCCTGAGTGTTGGGATTATAAGTGTGTCCCACCAAGCCTGGCCCTTATTCCATCTTGAGAGTCTAGATTGAACAGCAGCCTATAAAATGTTTTTGTTCATCTCTGGTTATTTCCTGTTTGTTTGTTTTAAATTAAAAAACTTTAAAGCTGGTTATGGTGGTTCATGCCTGTCACTCCAGCACTCAGGAGGCTGAGGTAGGAGGATCATCACAAGTTCAAGACCAGCCTGGGCTCCATAGTGAGTTTAAGTCCAGCCTGGACTACATAGTGAGACCCTGCCTTAAAAAAATTTTTTATGGGGCTGGGGATTTAGCTCAGTGGCATAAGCACCTGCCTTGCAAGCAGGCGGTTGTGAGTTCGATCCCCGGTACCGATAAAAAGGAAAAAGACAAAAAAAATTTTTTTTTTATTAAGTGCATGTTTGCAGTATATAATGATGAAATTCCTTGTGGAAGGTTTGTGCACGTCCATAACACATCTTAATTCCTTTTACTTCTCTTTTCCTCTCTCCTCCCTCCACCTTTTGGTTGTTTTTTTCTCCATTAGAATAAACATGTTTTTACAGGCTAACCGAATGTGAACATTTTGTGGCTTCTGATCAGCACCACTGAAATACCTTCAAAAAGTGACAACATTTGTCAGTAGATGAGGGCTGTGTTTTCACTGTTACTGTAATCCAAATATTGAATATTGTAATCCAAGTGCTATATTCCCATTTATCTGGAGAGTTATATTTGTGATCCTATTGAGACGTTATTGAGGGCTGGGGATTTAGCTTAGCAGGCATAAATGCCTACTTTGCAAGCACATGGTCATGAGTTCGATCCCCAGTACCAATAAAAAAAAAAAAAGACACGTTATTGGAATCCTAGCAAGTGAATTCCAATCTGCCACCGCCAATGCGACCCACAGCAAGAGTAAAGACACCAAGACATATTCAGATTTATGGGTAGCCATGGGTTCCTCAGTCCGATCCGAGTGAGGATATACACAAGGCCTTGATCCAAGGCCTCTCCCAGAATTTATTATCTCCTGAAGAAGGGAGCAATTCAGAGATGAGTGACAGTGAGGACGCAAGCATTACGTGTGTAGCTTTAGTGTCCTAACCAGGGGGAGGAAAGCGTCTTTGTGATACGCAGGGTGAGCAACCTGCAGAAGAACCAGGCTACATAACTCAATGAGAACAGCATTTGAGTGGTTTTTAGTAGGCTGTAACTTCAGCTCATCACATGTAAACTTTTGTAATCTGAGAAGTATGGCCTTTTATTTTGAGGCGCATACCCATTTGACATGCCTGGAGCTGAGTGGCTCACTTTCACCATTTAACAGGGAACACAATGCGAGGCAATAGGAAAACATGGTTGGCCTTTAAGGTTACCTGTCAGCGTCTTAGCCAGCCTTATTTGCATTGCTTGTAGCCAGTTGAAGAGAGAAGGAAATGCCATGGCCAGCTCTGTCCACATCAGTGCATGGAAATGACAGCATTTGTTAAAAATGCTGAAGCAGCTGTTCTGTATTCAAGGGGAGCTGCTCAGAGTGTCTCCTACAACTGGATCTGCCAGTGAGCTTTTTTGATTAGTTTTTTTGAGACACAGACTCACTGTGTAGCCCAGGCTGGCATCAAACATGGTGATCTTCCTGTCTCAGCCTCCCAAGTGCTGGGATTACTGGCAAGAGGCACCAAGCCCCAAATTTTTTGTTAAATTAAAAAATACCTTAGTATGTGTTTATAGTGTGTAATGATTATATTCGTCCTAGGGAGGAGACACATGCACTTCAGGTACCTTAGTTCGTTTTATTCTCCCCTCCCCTCTGTCTCCCAAATAGGAATGCAAAAGCAACCTGCTGTTGTCGTAGTCACAGAACGGTGTCATTTTAGGTGGCAGCTGTTTATAAGCTGCACAGTACCCGTTGTGGATGAGAGGTAAACTACTCTGCAGTTAATAAAGATCAGAGCCTTTGTGCGCTGTCTGACCTGTACCTGGGGGTAATCATTAGGTCACCCCAGCATTTCTCTCCTGCCACCTCCCCTTAAATGTCCTGCCCAACCTGCAGCAGGCCCCGGCCAGAGCCAGGGACCTGGTTGGCCGGCTGCTTGCCAACCCAGGGCACTTGACCTGGATTCCCCACCATCTCCCAACCCTTGTGCCTTCCACCCAGGGCTCTCTTTGCTGGTTTCCAGCCCTCTGTCTCTGTTTTTGAGACAGGATCTCACTATGTACCCCAGCTGGCCTTGTCCTTGAGGCAATCTCCTGCGTCAGCCTGGAGAGCTGGAATTACGGGTGTGTTTCACCATACCTGGCTTAGCTCTGAGCTTTCATTTTTTTTTGTTTTGTTTTGGGTGTGGGGGACTGAACTCACAACCTTGCACTTACCAGGCAAGTGCTTGAACCACTGAGCTAAATTCCCAGCCCCTTCTGGGCTTTTTAAAAAAAAAATTTTTATTGGTCCATTTTAGAGATACACAATGATCACATTCCTCACAGGGCTTTGTACCTGTGCATGGTATATCTTCCTTTTTAACACGTTCTCCTTCCTCCTCTTAACTCTTCTTCCCCATGGGCTTCAGTGTCCCAGCCCACAAACCAATGTGTCATGTTGGACTGGTGGATACTGTGTGATGCACAAGAGGAACCTGCAGTGTGGCTCTTTGGTCCCCTGAAAGCCTAGTTCCTGCAGCAGGTGACCGCCATATCACCCTGACTGCATGTCACATGCTCATACCTCATTTACAGCCTGCCAGAGTCCGTTTTTACAAAATTTAGCTGTCTCAGGGTGGAGCACAGGCGTTAGACCTGGCCTCCAGGCTGTGGGGCTTGCATGGTGTTGGATAAGCCCTGAGCTCTGCTCACTGCCTTCACTGAGCTTGCACCTCGATAAAGACGCAAAGATGTGACTTCCTGTCATTCTTGACTTGGCCAGGCCTGGGGACAAATGCTGGACATTGTCTTTTTACTGCCAGTGGGAAGAGGACTTGGCTGCGCTCTGATTGTCCTCCTGTAGCAGTGCTCAATAGGGGGAGCTGTAGCCAGGCATGGGGGGCACACCTGTGATCCCAGCACTCCGGGAGACTGAGACAGGAGGATCACAAGTTCAAACCCTGCCTGAGCAATTTAAAGACTCAGTAAAACCCTGTCTCAAAAAAAAGACCTGTGATCCTCATTCCAGCCACTGTGTGGTACCTCCTTAGAGGGACCCTATGACTGATTCTGCCACTGGAATAGACAGCTGAGGGCTGGCTCCTAGGCCCATGCGCAGCCCAGATCTGAGCAGCTCTTTCCTCCAGGTACCTGAAGCACACACTGGACCAGTATGTGGAGAGCGACTACACACTCCTCTACCTGCACCATGGCCTGACCAGCGACAACAAACCCTCACTCAGCTGGCTGCGAGATGCCTACCGGGAATTCGACCGCAAGTGGGTGGCGCCTGGGACACTGGGTGTTGCCTGAAGGACTTGAGTTTCCATCTGATCCCAACTCATCTGTGTATTTGCTGTGTGACTATTCACATGGCTTACCCTCTCCTAGAATGGGACACCAATGGCCTTACTTCCTGTACCTGCTGGGACCAACTCTTAAGCTGGGGGTAGTGGCGTATACTCCTGTGATCCTGACAGTCAGGAGGCTGAAGCAGGAGGGTCGATGTGAGTTCAAGGTCAGCCTAGGCTATATAGTCAGACCCCGCTTAAAAGAAAAAAAGCACGACATGGTGGCACATACCTGTAATCTCACCATTCTTGAGGCTGAGGCAGGAGGATTGTCATGAGTTCTAGTCCAGCCTGGGCTCCAAAGTGAGTTCAAGACCAGCCTGGAATGCATAGTGAGAGCCTGTTTCAAAAAGATGAACGCACACAAACACACACACACAGCAGCCCCATCTGCCTTCCCTTTCCTTCCCCTCCCCCTCTCAGGCTCCCTGCTCTGTCCCCACACAGATACAAGAAGAACATCAAGGCCCTGTACATTGTGCACCCGACCATGTTCATCAAAACCCTGCTCATCCTCTTCAAACCCCTGATCAGGTGAGTCCAGTCCAGGTGGGCAGGTAGTGCCCCCTGCTGCCTGAGCAGGGCCTGAGGTGGCCCCAGCCCCTGACCAGGCCCTTTTCCTTCTGTGCAGCTTCAAGTTTGGGCGGAAGATCTTCTATGTGAACTACCTGAGTGAGCTCAGTGAGCACGTGAAGCTCGAGCAGTTGGGGATCCCTCGCCAAGTGCTCAAGTAAGGGGAGTGCACTGTGGGGGGCAGAATCAGCCTTCAGGGAGGGGAAGCCGGGTGAGCGCAGGGTACTGAGAGGAGACAAGTGCCATCCTTCACTCTTTCCTTTGACTTAGGGGATTTTTTTTTCTTTTTTTTTTTTTTTTTGTTTTTTTGAGACAGGATCTCTATACAGTTCAGGCTGGCCTTGAGCTCACTTTGTAGCCCAGGCTGGTCTCGAACTTTGAAAGGATCCTCCTACCTCAGCCTCCCAAGTGCTGGGATACAGGCGTGAGCCACTACTCCGATTTGGTTTTTTCTTTTTTTGAGACAGGCCTATGCTGCCCTCTTAACACATGGCAGTCTCCTGTCTCAGCCTCCCAAGTGCTGGGATTATAGGTTAGCAAAGGACAGCAAAATCAAACCTCATTTCTGTCACTGCCATGTGACTGAGTCTTTTTTTTCTTCTCTCTACAGTAGTGGGGGTTGAACCCAGGGCCTGTGCTCCTGTGATGCAGGCACACACTGCGGCTGAGCTACACGCTGCCCCTGTGACTGGACCCCCATTTTGCTTGTTTGCTTGTGTGGGGCATGCAGTAGCGTGTTAGAGGGCTGAGGAGGTACCCCTGTAAAACTGGGAACAAAGGCCAGATAAAGTGAGCGGTGAGAGCGTGGGGTGTGGCACAGGCCCTGACACTTACTGCCGCCCTAGGTATGATGACTTCCTCAAGTCCACCCAGAAGAGCCCTGCGACAGCCCCCAAGGCCATGCCACCTCGGCCGCCCCTACCCAACCAGCAGTTCGGGGTCTCCTTGCAGCAGTGAGTATGCGAGGGGGGCAGCTGGGGTGCAGGGCCAGGCCTGCTGCAGCCCACTCATGGCCCTGATCCCCAGCCTGCAGGAGAAGAACCCAGAGCAGGAGCCCATTCCCATTGTGCTCAGGGACACCGTCGCCTACCTGCAGGCCCACGGTGAGTGCCAGGCCTGGCTGTCCAGGTCATGCTGTGGTCACCTAGTTGCCCTGGGGACGCTGTGGGGCCAGGCCTGAAACTCACCAGCCCTGCTGTCCACAGCTCTCACCACCGAGGGCATCTTCCGGAGGTCAGCCAACACCCAGGTGGTGCGTGAGGTGCAGCACAAGTACAACATGGGTGAGTGGTGCCTGCCCTGTGTGGTGCAAGCCTGTGTGACCCTTGGGCTTCCCACCTCTGCCACCGGGTAAACAGGGTCCTGCGCTCCCTTCCATCAGAGGTTGTGGTGCTGTGTGGTGTCACGACACAGTCCCCACTGCTGCCACCGTCCCAGGCCTGCTATGTGGCTGCCAGAGGTGGAGAGTGTAGGCTGGAGCTGAGCCCACGTCCTGGGTCCCAGGGAAGCCATGAAGTGGGTGGCACAGGGACCAGAGCAGCAGTGGGGCCACCCGACTGCCTGCTCCCACGCAGGGCTGGCCGTTGACTTTGACCAGTACAATGAGCTGCACCTGCCGGCTGTCATCCTGAAGACCTTCCTGCGGGAGCTGCCTGAGCCCCTGCTGACCTTTGACCTGTACCCCCATGTGGTGGGCTTCCTTGGTGAGTGCCTCCTGTCCTCCAGCTGTGCCACCCTGCTGGGCTTGGGGCTGGCTCCGGCCTCTCCCTGCTGCCCACCTGCCCCCACCCAATGACCTGAGCAAGCCCTGTACCATACAGACATTGACGAGAGCCAGAGAGTGGCGGTGACACAGCAGGTGCTCCGGACACTGCCTGAGGAGAACTACCAGGTGCTTCGCTTCCTGACTGCCTTCCTGGTGCAGGTGAGGCCTTGGCCACGGCTCACCCGAGGACATACACTCCAGGTGGGGCTGCAGGGAGTGGGAGGCCACAGCTCTGCCTTCCTGCTGCAGCCCCAACTTCCTCCCCAGGTTTCTGCCTACCATGACCAGAACAAGATGACCAACACGAACCTGGCTGTTGTCTTCGGCCCTAACCTGCTCTGGGCCAAGGATGCCGCCATCACCCTCAAGGCCATTAACCCCATCAACACCTTCACCAAGTTCCTCCTGGATCATCAAGGGGAGTTGTTCCCCAGCCCCGATTCCCCAGGGCTCTGAGCCCAGCCTTGTGCACGGGTCATGGGACTTCTCCGCCTGGTTCTGCCACAGGGGAGCCAGGGCTCCTGCCCGGGACAGAAGCTGGAGTGCGGCACTGGATGGCCACTCTGCTCTGCCCAGCCCTCCACCGCCTGGTGGCCTCCTGTCCCCAAGACGCTTGTCTTCGCCTTATACTTTTCACTGCCTCTCTGGATGCCTGGCTCCTGCAGGGCTTGGCTCTTCCAGCTGGAGAAGGACTGAACCCCAGTAACCCTTTTTCTGCTTTTCTCTGCTTCTGTTTCCCTGGCAGCAGTGGGTAACCATATCCCTGCTGGCTGGCCTGGGGCTGGGGCAGGGGCTGGGGCTGCGCCTGGGACCAGAGATCCCCCCTTTCTGATGGCTGTGGAATGAGCAGCCAGATGCCAAGGCAGGACCTGGCTGTGCCCAGACGCCTCCGTATCTGAGTCCAGTGGCTCTGCCCTTTAGAAGTCCTGTGACACTAGTGTGGGTGCAGTCCCTGTGCCTCTTTTCTCTCTCATGGCTGAGCCCTGGGTCCTAACAGCCTCTGGAATGCCAGACTGCAGTCCGCTTCCTGTTTCTGCCTTCTGGGTCCACCTTTCCCAAGTGGCACAGCCCCTTGGGGTTCTAACCCTTGGATCTACAGGGACTGGTATCTTGGATGCGGGACCCATGGTCTCAGGGTTCACTGGGAATAGCCACATTCCCGGTCCATAGTGACTCGGAACTCGGGCTGGTGCTGAGGCTCATGGTACTCACAAGAGAGACAGATTTTGCTAATAGACCAGCCTCTGTGGGGGGTCCTAGCAGTAGCCACAAGGAAGTCTGGCACCTGCCATTGTCCTTCAGAAATTCTGGACTGACGATGGTTGACATTCCTCATTTCTCCCCAGGAACCTCTCCCCCAGAGAAGGGGGACACCACAATGACCCTGTGCCCACTGTGGGGCCAGCAGGATGGTACCTCCAGAGCCTGTACTGGGGGTTCCTCCCGGGTGACCAGTGGGCTGGTTCTGTCACTCCTGTCTCTGGCCTGGCTTGGCCACTTGGTTCTCTGCCGCCTTTATATATTGAGTGTCACTCACAGCCCTATTTCCTGGGGAGCCTTTGGGATCTTTCTCCTGTCCCCTACCCCACTGGAGTGTACGGGGCACTGGTACTGTGAATCGAGTGTTCACATCCACACCTATTGACTTACTTGGCACCAATTGTGTATTTCACCGTTTGCACTTTTTGTATTTCAAAATAAAAATGGAAAATACCCTGTCTGGTTGTTCTAGAAGTGAGGCCTCCAGGTTGAGAACTGGGTGGGAAGCACCATGTAGTTGAGAAGAATCCATCTGCCCCTTCCACCTCCAGCTCACTTGTGCCTGGGTCAGAGGACAGATATCTGACTGGTTTCTAGGCTTGGAGTAGCAACTTCACCTCCCACGCTTTGGTGTGGTCACCGGGCACTGTGTTGTGTTGTAGTCAGAATTTGTAAGGAAAACAATTTACTATGAGACACAATTTATAGGATTCTTCAACAATATTCACCCAATCAAATGCAAGAGTGTGGAAGATCTGTCCACACTAGAGACCCAAAGAATCCAGCTGAGGGCCTGGATGCCACAGCAGTGTCCTTCACAAGTCCAGCTGGAGGCCCAGAGCCCACGACAATGTCTCATGCAGTCTGTATCAAGGATCTGCACTGGGAAGGCCCCAAGGTCAGGGGGAAGCTAGAAACTCTGCACCAGCGGGATGGAGGACCTGTGCCAGCAGCTGAGGGATCTGCACTGGAGCCAGGAAACGACGATCATGGTTAGGACCAGAGCTCCTCCAAAGTGAACTGCAGCCATTCCTAAGCAACGGGAGGATCAGAACTCCTCTGATGTTAACAGCCAAGCTCCTAGCAGGAAAACCAGTACAAGCCTTAGAATCAGCAGCGCACCATCTTCCCCTCCAGTTCTTCTTATGCTGCTGGCAACAATCCTTGGGTGAGCCTCTCACACCCAGCACTGTACAGACTCAGCTCAGCTGGATATTACAAGCTAACCACCAGTTGTCAATCCGCACGCTGTGTCAAGGTCACGGCCTCTCCTGTCTCCAATCAGAAGGTACCGGAAGCCTGGCAGGAACTGAGACTTCTCTAAAGTAAGCAAAGGGGGAAGACCAGAGTGGACTGTACAATCATACAGGCATCGTTATCACTCGGCAGCCCTAGCCAGTGACAGTCATAGAACCAGCCCCACCTAAGGATCAGAAATAATACTGCCAGTATGTGCAAGAGTGCACGGTGGAAGCCAGAATGACCCTGGGAAGGAAAGTGATGGTCCCAGCCTCATGTGACAGCTGGGACTGGGACTGTCCCCTCCTGACCTCTTAGCACCCTGCCCCTTAGCCCAGAGGCAAGACTGCTGTCACCTGCGACCTGCTTACAAGGAGGCTATGAAAGATCCCATTTTTCCTTTCCTTTATTGAACACTTTTTTTTTTTTTTTTTTTTTTTTTGTCTTTTGCCTTTTCCTTTTTTATCTGTACCGGGGATCGAACTCATGACTGCCTGCTTGCAAGGCAGGCGTTTATGCCGCTGAGCTAAATCCCCAGCCCCCTACTTTTTTCTTTTTGAGACTGGGTCTCAATATTCAATTCAGGTTGGCCTTGAGCTTGCTTTGTAGCCCAGGCCAGTCTCAAATTCCCAACAATCCTCCTGCCTCAGCTTCCTGAGTACTGGGATTACATGCATGATGGATTACACCCAGTTTCTACAGAACACTTTGCTTTACTTTTAAGACTAAGGTAGTAAATATAAACCAGGCGTGGTGGGCACACACCTGTAATTCCTGTACTTGTGAGGCTGACGCAGGAGGATCCTGAATTTAAGGTCAACCTGGGCTACACAGGGAGACTGGCTCAGAAAACAAAATAAAAATGATGGCAAATGTTGAGTGTGTGGCTTAGTGGTACAGCCCTTGCTTAGCAAGTACGGAGGTACAAAGTTCTATCCCCAGCACCACAGAAAAAAAAAGGAAAAGATACTACATTTATATGTATTTTTACCAATTTTTTTCAATGGTCCATCCCAGATGGCAGTAGGAGGGTGTCACCTGGCACAGTATTCAAGGTCAAGGTCCAGGTGTACTGTGTGCTTTCCAGGTGCAGCAAGGCTACAGTGGCTTGGCTGGGCCTCTTTTCTCCTGTCCCTTGATTTGCGGGGCCCTGCGCCTAGGAGAGTCATCCATTGCACCAGCCGCTCCAGGACCTTGAGGTGAAGAGCATGGAGGCAAAGGCTCAGGGGAGGAGTGGGGAGCTGTTTACTTGGGCCCAAGTGGGGCCTCTGGTGACAGTTTGGTGCCACTTCCACAAGGCATTGGCAACAATGGGCCTCAGTGGGTGGAGCACAGGCAAATGTCATGGGGACAGCTGAGCACTTAGCTCAGTGGGGCTCCCCATGGGACTCCCATGGTGACCAGGCAGTCACCACCATTTCTCACCAGGCGGTAGGCAAGGGTGGCAGCTGGCTGTCAGGTCTGCTGTCACGGGCAAGGTCACAGGCTGCTTATAACAACTGCATCTCCCAGCCCTTCCCAGCAGAGTGGGCTGGCCCAGGCTCCTCTGCACAAGGCTTTGGGCTGAATTTAAGCTTTATCTTTGTTTTGGTTCTGGAACCCAAAGGGGCTGAGGGAGGGGAGTTCTGGCAGCCATGTTGTTTTTAACTGGAGACTTCCCTCTGTGTTCAGGACCCTCTGGCTGTGGCGTCACATGCATGCACGCTCAGCTATGCCAGGGTCCATCCAGATCCTGCAGCCACACAGACTGACTGCCAGGGCTCTTCCCCGGTTCTCTGCATGTCGGGGAAGCCCAGGCAGCAGAACACTGGCTCGTTTCCCTTCCCTCGGTTCACCCCACCACAGCTGCCACTCCACCGGCAACCACTTCCTCAGGCCAGTGGCTACTGTATGAGAAAGAACTGAGGACAAGCCAGATGTGGCCGTGTGTGCCCGCAGTCCCAGCACTGCGAGGCTGAGGCTGGAGCAACACAAGTTTAAGGACAGCCCACCTCAAAACAAAACACCCACAAACCCAAAGATGGGTCAGGGATGCAACAGTGTGAAGGCCTGGGGTTCAGGCCCCAGTACCAAAAAATTGCTAAGTATGCATCCTCTAGTTTGTCTCACTACTCAAATGCATAATGCTCTGATGGGAACATATAAGAAAACAAGGCTCCAGGAAGCTTCCTGACCAAACACACTGCCTGAAACCCAAGCCCTTCTGCCCTTTTCATGGGGCCTGGTGTGACCAGAGCTGGGCCAGGTGTCCAAATGACCTGCACGACAGGTTTAAAGTACAGAAAAACCTTTATTGGAAATCTCTGAATACAGTGTGAAATACAGCTCAGTTATTTCCCGAGGCCGCCGGAGGGGAGGAGCTGTCACCTGGAGACTGGTCCTGGCCTGGTTGCGCACTGCAGATATTGGTCTAGGGCTCATCCCTGTCACATGGGGCTGAGGCTAAGGACCAGCCCTGATGTCACCTTGCTCCTCTTAGTCCAGCTCAAGGTCAAGGCTCAGCCTCCCTGGCCTCTTCCTGGACAGGAAGCTTGAGGAAAGGATGGGGCCTCAAGGACCACAATCAGCATGGCTGAGGACCATCATGGATGGCGGGAACAAGCCTCTGCATGCAGGGCTCAGGCAGAGGACAGCAGCTGAGATGGGGGTGTCTACAACTTACTGTCCCCCTGCCAAGCTTCAGGTGGGGAATCTGATGGGATCAGCAGTCACAGATGCAGTGTGGCTGAGGCAGGAGGGCCAGTTGGCCATCACCAAGGGGACTTCCTGTGGCAGCAGCAGGAGGCTTGGCCAGGGCTCCCTTCACAGCCTGCCTCTTGGGTGGGAACGGTGTCTCATGCAGTTTACTAACAAGCAGTCCAGGGCCACCTGGCCCACTGAAGGACAGCTGCTGCCAGGGAACAGCTGGCAGAGGCCAGGCAGGCTGGGAGAGCGAAGGCCAGGCCCCTGACCTCCTCAGGTGATGGTACTTGGTGAGAGGGGAGGCGCACTCAGCTGCTGGCCCAGCTTTGGTTTTTCAACAGGGAACCAGTCCAGGGCGGTGTCACAACCTCATTCCAGGAGGCAGCAGCCAGGCCCAAGAGCAGGAGGATCAGAAGGTGCCCCAGCCACAGGCGAACAGGCAACGCCCCCTGGGCACTCAAGGTTGCACAACTCTGGGGGTCCTCACATTAGCACCCGAGACTTCCTGGGCTTCCAGAGCTGCTGTGTAGGAGTTGAGAGACTGAGCACTTGCCAGGGCACCCGTGGTCATCCAGGACGCAACGATCCTGACCTCGGGCCGCTCTGCTCTCTCCTGGCTTATGTCTTGGCTCCTGCCCCGCGTGCAGGCACAGGAAGCCCCTCGCAGCAGCCTTGGTTCTGGGGATGCTTCTGAGCAGCAGGCCTCTGCCTCAGCAAGAAAATAGCCACCTCCAGTGGGTTTTCTCTATAAAATATTTCTCTGAAAGTAATAAATATTTACCATTCCTATAACCAAGGAGCAGCAAAGGGGAGGGAGGGGAAGGAAGAGCCTTCGCCCGGACTCTGGATGACAGAATCCTAGGGATGCAGGATTTGGAGCTGAGGAGCTGGGCACAGCAGCCACCAGGGCTGCACGGACCCCTAGGAGGGGCTGGCACGACCATTCCAGGTGGCACAACCTTGCCAAGTGTCCTAGGTGAGGCTGGCGCTGGAGTTGTCACCATGGGCAGGCAGGCCCATCAGATTCCAGACACACAGGCACAGGGGTGCAGAGCAAGAGGAAGACGGCCCTGGGAATGGGGGGACACAGAGAACCCCAGGACTCCCTCTTCCTCCCAGCACTGCCCAATTCCTCTTTCTGCCTGGCCCATCTCAGCCACCACTGGGAACGTCAAGCGGTTAATGGCCAGGACAGGCAAGCAGGAGGCAGAAGTGGAAGACACCCTTTGTGAGACAGTTGGTGACAGGTGGGGTGCACAGATGGCCCTGCTGCAGCTCTTGTTACAAACGGTATTCCTTCTCCAAGGCCAGCGGGGGTCTCCAGAAGGTGTGGAGCAGGGACTTCAGGTCGTCTCCAGGGAATTGCCCTGCCATCCACCTGGCTGGGAGCAGCAGGAGGGACAGGAGTGGCTCTGGCCCCTGGGGAGTACAGCAAGGGGGTGCTGCTGGTATTGGAGGCTACTTTTACTGCAGGGTTTCCACAAAGGCGTCAAATTCTCGAACATTCTTTTCATGCACAGCCAGCTTCTCGGGTAAGGAGTCCTGTTGGAGAGAAGAGATTTGCTCATTCGGGCCACCAACTTGGTCCCTAGAGATGGAGACAGGAACCCAAGCAAGTGAGCTGCATGGCCATCAGGACAGGAAAGACACATCCTCTGGTTTACACGTGGCCTGGAGTCCACGTGGGTCATACGCTTTTCACGGAAGGCAGAACACACCAAGAACGGCTTAGTGCAGAGACTAACATGAAATATCTGCGGTGCACGTCAGACATTAGATAAAACTGCAAGTTTACAGCTCTCTGGTCGAAGCAAAGTTCCTTTAGGCCTTTTTCTGGACCAGTACACCCAGAAGAGGAAGAGGACAGCCCCAGGCACTACCCAGGGACAGCCTGAGCAGGGCCGGGTGGCCTGGGCACCTGTGTCATCACACCAGCCTTGGGGGAGGAGAGTGAGCATGAGAGCCATGGCTGGACAGAGGACCAGGAGACCCGAGCTGTCATCCCATACCAGACAGAAACAAAGGCCAGGGACAGCAGGTGACAGAAGGGACTGAACACTCTTCTCCAGCCTTGAAACCTAGAGTGGCCAGACATAAAGGTAGGGCCGGGCACTCCCTGGTCCTAGCTGCAGATACAGTGAGTGCACAAGACCAATGTCCTCCTGAGTGCCTGTCACATGAGGGCGGGGCCCAGAGTGAAACTCAGGCACTAACTCCAGGGTCAGGGCTTTGGTTCACATGGCTCTGTGGCCACAGGGCACTAACTCTGGCACGCACCACAGGGCTTTCTGTTTTGTGGGTTGGGGTAAGAAAGCCTCCTTTTCAGGACTAAAGATTCATGAAAAACAGTGCGGTTCATAGTAGCAGGAGCCAGGCCTTTGTTTCCATCCACAGCACAGCCCAAGAAAGGGAAGGAAAAGTGCCTGGTGCTTGGGCAGTGTCCACGTGTGTCAGGAAGAGGATTCCTGTCCTCTCCCACCATCCTATTAGTAGGCAGAGCTTTCTGTTTAACCAAACCAAGGCCTCTGCTTTTTTTTTTGTCTTTTTCCTTTTTATCAGTACCGGGGATCGAACTCACGACTCTGCCTGCTTTCAAGGCAGGCGCTTATGCCGCTGAGCTAAACCCCCAGCCCCAAGGCCTCTGCTTTTACAGAGGTGAGAGACTGGACTAATGCAGTGGGATCATGACCTCTCGAAGCAGGACACCTGCCTGCCTTCCCAGGCAAGAAGAGGAAGTGCCCCGAGAAGCGATGTGGTCATCACAGCCGGCGGCAGGACATCTGGCCAGGCCCGAGAGCCCCAAGGAGAGAGGGCGCACACAGCAAAGGGCAGGACAGACCCTCAGAACATGAGGGCCTCTGCCCTATGACTTGGCACCTGGCTGGTAGGTGACAGAGCTGGATGCCAGAGCCATCGAAGTGGCTCGAACAGCAGCATGCAGGCCCACGGAGAAGGTGAGGAGAGGGAACCGGTGTGAACTACTGTGTGGCACTGTGAGAATCTCAATTGTGACCAAAAGCAGACAGCAATCTATCTCTTGTGTCTCTTTCCTGTGACAGGGATGTTTGTGGCAGCAGGAAATGCCTAGTCTGTGTGCAGAAGTGACCATACATGGGACCATGGTGGGGAAGGGGCTTTCGTACCAAGTCTTCTGCCATGGACTGGGCTCCGATGTCTATGGAGAGGCTGCTCAGCTGTGGGGGGTTCTGAAACTCTCGGTAGAAGGTCCCCAAGTCCATCGGCAGAATGTCGTCTTTAGAAAAAGCTGGTTTCTTCAAAAATAAGAGACTCAGTTTAGCTTGCCTTGGAGCACAAAGGAAAACCTAAAATAAACTGCAAATAAGTCTGTTTCCTTCCAAGCTCTATCTGAGAAAAGATGAAGGGACACCTCGCTCTTCCAGAGTGCTTGGCCTGCAAACCCGGGGACACTATTCCTTTCCCAGGGAGCTTTCTGTCCCTTATTCAAACACCGTTCCTAAGCAGAAGGCCACCTAATCAGCTGTGAACAGGACCTCAGTGGAATCCACCGGAAAATCTCCAGTCAGAGCTGAATTCTAACCAGACAAGGAATGAAATGCTTTACTGTTCTCAGCCCCAAGTCTCTCCAGGCGGGGAACAGGACAGAGTGAGTCCCTTTACATCCTCGGTTGCACAGCCCAGCCCAGCCCAGCCCAAGGGAGCTCACTCCTGCTCAGCAGGGGCCTCCAGCTTTACCATCCCTGGGCAGCTGTCAACTTACAAAGTCGATCATGACGAAGTCGTCGTGGGTGTTACCGCCGCTGCCTGCGCTGGAGCCCTCGGAGTGCAGGCTGCCGTGCAGTGGGGAGGCAGCCTCTGGCGAGTCTGGAGGGTTCACCTGGTGCAAAAGAGGCAGAGTCAGTACAGAAGCTGGGAGCTGGCTGCCTATTCCTGCTCACATCGGCGGATTCTGTAAGGAGCCTGGTGCTGGCCATAAAGGCTTCTGGTTGAGGGGGTTGCTTAGCCCAGGAGAAGGGATGAGACTGCACCATCCACAAGAAACTGGCGGTCACCGGTGCACTCACCATAGGGTCGGCATCCTCCAGCTCCAAGTTCTTGGGAGCAAACATGGCGAAGGGTATGTCCAAGCTCGTCAGAGTCACCTACAGAGCACAAGCAGAAGCGTTCGTGCCTAGCCCTCCCCTCTCCCACCAGCTGCCTGGGTGCTGCCCTCACACGTGCCTAGATTGACTATAATGTCCCTGCTACCCCCTCCCCCACCACAAACGCCCACAGAGTGCACGGGGCTGGGCTCCTGAGGACCCTGCCTGGGAAGTGGGCTCCAGCCTGGCCCAGCCCAGCCAATGGACATAGGCAGCTCCAGCCTCAAAATGCAACACAGAATGCTGCCATTGCCAAGGTGCCCGTCCTTGGGCCCCAGCAGGGACAGAAGAGTCCTACCTGGTTGATGGGCTTGTTGACAAAAGCCCCCACTTTCCGGACAAAGATGGTCTCCAAGACATCGTGGGTGGAGGCCCGGCCCTCGCTGCTGTTGGAGACGGTCTCGGTGCCCTCACTGGAGGAGAAAGGTGACACTGGTGCCCATCCCACAGCATGGCAGAACAAGCTGGTTCCCCGAGCCTACCCTCCTGTGGGGAATCGGCCCCCGTGGGACAGGACTATGTGTGGCTGTTGCTTCTGGCCTTGTCTGATGAGCTGACAGCAGAGGATAGCACATACTGACTGAAACGTCATGTTATAGCTGAGTAAAGCTAGGGTGGAAAAACCCATGACCATGCACGTAGCTAGAGATACGGACGAGCGGCTCTCACACCGCTGCTACTGCAGTGTTCAATTATGTCAAGACCCCACTCTTCAGCTTTTCTTCTTCCTTCACCATCTAAGAACACCTCAAGACCCTGTGACTTACAGTGCACTGTCATTCAAGCCTCACCTTGAAAGGACACTGGCACCACTCACAGTGAGGGTACAGCAGCACCCTGGCCAGCAGGGTCCCCATGATCCCTCCTGCGACCCTGCCCCCAGCCAGGCCTCCACTCCTGCAAGCCCTGAATGACACAGCCAGTGCCTGCTCCCGCTCCCACTCTGTGCTGGGCCCTGATCCAGGACCTGCGCGGTGGCTCACGACCCAGCAGATGCTCACAGCTGTGAGCAGCAGGGGATTGGAGAGGTCATCAGATCAACTGCAGGGACTCCAGGTGGGCAGGAGCACTGGGTGAGCACTACAGCAGCAGTGGGGATGGGCACTAGGGACTGGCTTCCGTGTGCCTGGGACCTGCATCTAACCCTCATCTGATGCTGCAGGGTCTTTTGTCATTAGCTACTCCTGTCCCAGGGGTCAAGACTCAGAAAACTGCAGTATAAAATGACTAACAGATCTTCCTTTGATCATCTGACCCTGGGAATGAGGGAGAAAGGAGGGAGTCTCTCCATCCAGGAATTTTTTTAAGAATCACCCACAACAATCTTCCTGAACAGTTACCCTCCCACCACCTTCCCTGATGACGAACCCTTGGCATGCGTGCCACAGCTGGCTGTGGCTGTTCTCGCTGAAGGCTCTAAAAGGTTCCTGTCACTGCCAGCAGGACAATCCTGCTATCTCCCAGGCCATCTGAATGCAAGGACAGGATGCCAGGCCAGGGAGGGCTCTGGAGCTCTCAGGGTCAAACACGTACCAGGCACGTGGCCTACAATGGAGCTCATCCTGGCTCTGTCATTTTTTTTTTTTTCTTTTTCATTTTTATCAGTACCAGGGATCGAACTCACGACCGCCTGCTTACAAGGCAGGTGCTTATGCTGCTGAGCTAAATCCCCAGCCCGGCTCTGTCATCTTCCAAAAAAAATGTGGCAGTAGTGACTTTTCTGTTTGTTTAAGACAGAGTCTATGTAGCTCACGCTGGCCTTGAATTCACAGCAATCGTGTCTCAGTCTCCCCAGTTTAGAGATTACAAGTGTGCGGTACCACGCCTGGCCAACAGTGGTGACTCTTGCAAGGTAGAAATATGAGAACTATTACTTCCTACTTAATAACTACCTTCATCATGACAGAATGCATCACTTTGTCACCATTCCTGGATTTAATTTCTTTTGTAAATGAGAAAAAAATGGGCATTTCCAAAGAATGTCAACGAGGCTCTAATTCAGAAAAAAAAAAAAAAAAAAAAAAGCAAAAATCAGAATCACATCCACAGGTGCACCTTGGCCAGACACTTCAGGGTGCAGTAAACACCTGTTTTGATCCTCAGGCCATGGACTGTTGCCAACAGGAGCCTGGGGTAAGGGAAAAACACCCCTTGATTTCACCGGGTAAGGCAACAAGACCAAGCCCCGCTGGCTCCCGTTATCAGAGCTTCCTGACACACCGGCTGCAATGTAAGCTTAGGCTCCCCAAAGATTTGCAGGAGTTCCCATTTGAGGCCCAGAAGCCTGTGTGTCACCCCCCAACCTGGGGTGGCGCCCCATGGGGACTCACCTGCTGGAAGGTGTGGCAGCACAGTGGGTCCCATCTGAAGGGGTGTGGATCCCCAGTTTCTCCTGATCCGCCTGGGCGCCGTGGGCAGGCTGGTTGGGAGTGACAGGCACGCCACCTTCCTTCCCAGGAACCATCAGCTGTGGGGGAAATGAAAAGATATGTGAGTGACAGTGTCATGCTGTAGAGGGCCCTTTGGGGCTGGCTTGGTAGCGCCTGCTTCTGGCCACTCCATGACCAATGCCACCATTAGGTGGAGCAGGCACCCCCACATTCTGATCCTTGCTGGGACTTGGGTGCGGGCAGACATGCATGGTGATGACCACCGAGGGACAGGGACAGGCAGGAAGAGAAGCCACAGGAAATCCTCTTTCCTTCCTCCTAGAGTTGGACACTCACGCCATCTGTGTCCTCAGAGGCAGGGGAGGTGGCAAGGCAGCCCATGTCCCCAGCTGGAGATACCTGGTGAGGGTGTGGAGCGTTTAGACCAGCAGTGAACACTACTGGGAAAGCCAGGTCAGCTGATCCAAGGCCCAGGACAGCAGGCTGATAGGAAAGGCGAGAGCTTGAGAGCTGAGCAAGAGAAAAACAGAGAGGCAGAGGAGAGGCAGGAAAACACAGGCCTTCGGCCCAGGACAGACGACCTCAGAAGCGGGAAGGGATGATCCCTGCCTCGGCCCACAGCGAGGGGCCGTGGGATGCAGTAGGTCAGGCCCCTGGACCCCCTTGCAGGCGAGAAATACAGAAGCTCTCCTCCCAGGCTTGGGAGCCCTGGCTCCGAGCCTCTGAAAGGCCTCAAATGAACTCCTGGCTACCCCATCCCTAGGAACAGCTAATGCTTGTATTCCAAGGCCAGCAGATCTGTGGGCCACAACCCCGGGCAGAACTTGTGGCCAAAGTCATCAGCCTTTCCAGAGCCATTCTATTTTCTCCTCTGTCCTTGAGGTCCCTTCAGAACGGAAGGCTGTCTTTTCTAATCACACCCTTCATCACCCCTGGGTAGGGGTGGGCTTGTATTTATACTGAAACAAGAAAGGCCAGTCTTGAATTGCTTATTTGGAAAATGGATATAAATAACTCCTTGTATTTTTCACATAACAGAAGGACGGGCAAATACAAGTCCTGATTTTGGACTTCCGGGCTGTGGCTGGGTCCTGTTAACATCGGCTCTTCGGCCTTGGAATGCTCCCACGGGACACCTGGGGCTGCTTAAACCATGACACCCTGGGCTCGGTCTCATAAGGAAAACTAAAAGAAGCTGTCTGGTCAAATCCCCTTCTTCCCACGGTGAACTCACTTGATGGGAAAAGGCCAGTCCTGCCGTGGGGACCCTCAGAGTGTCCGTCACCACAGGAGTAGGGGTCTGAAAATGTGCCTTTGTGACAGTAAACACACACTGTGCACAGACACACACAGAGACAGGAAAACAAGAGAAGAAAAAAGAAAGGGACTTGAGAAAGACATGAAATAACCCCCGGGGGGCAGCAGGGAGACTGGAGGGACAGTGGGACCTGGAGTGAGAAGGCAGCACAGGCACTGGGGCTCCCAAGGGGCAGTGTGGATGGAGGGTCCCGGAAGTGACACCTACCCCACAGTGCACCCCGCATGCCTGTCTCAATAAGCAGCGGGGAGAGCAGGGGGGCTCACGTGGGTTTGACTTAGCAAAGCAAAGCAGCCTGCAGAGCGCACCAGGGCAGGGCATGAAGCAGCAGGGGGCGCCGCCAGCATGTGGGGTGGGGCTGGACGACTCACCCAGCTTCGAAAGCTGGTGTGGACCCAGGGGGCGTGAAGGTGTGAGGGCGTGCAGAGGGGTGTGCGTGCGTTGGTGCCCATGTTCTTACAGTCCCTGATGGTGTTGGACAATATGACAGAAACAAAGTAGGGGCCCTTTAAGTACTCTTCTGATTTTAGTTTTTAAGATAACATTTCATTAGGTAGCCCAGGCTGGTCTCAAACTCACAATCTTTCTGCCTCAGCCTCCCAAGTGCTGGGATTACAAGTGTGTACCATCATACCTAGCTCAAAAATCTTCAAAGCTACTAATGGGAAAGAGGATTACTTGGGGGTCCTGCAGTTTCATCTTAAAATCTTTAAGTTTAGCAAATCAATGCTTAAAATCAGACCAAGACTTCAGGACACAGTAGCAGGTTGAGGCTCAAAAGTACTTCATGTCTCAACTTTGTGCCCTAATGACACAGTGATCCTTATATTGGTGGCACAACAGATGACACATCAACATGTACTCATTTCCTGGAACCTAGCAAGATCTCCGATTAAAGCAGTTGAACAATTATGCATGTCCTTGGATGAAGCTGAGGAATAAAGCACTGACTGTTAACAGAAATGAGAGCTGATAACAAAGATTTTACTCTCTGTTATCTCTACCACTAGAGCTTGAAAGGGGTATTTTTGAACCAAACCACCATGGTCTTGGTCAGAGGGACTCAGGGTAAGAAGTGGCCACTGTAGGTAAAATCTTAGCTTGATACAACTGTTGTTGGTCTCACTATACAGTTCAGGCTGGCTTTGAACTCACTCTGCAGCTTGGGCTGGCCTCAAACTTGATCCTCTTGCCTCGGCTTCCCTCCAGTGCCGGGACCACAGGTGTGCACCACCATGCCCGACACTCAGCCTTTTGATCTCTTAGTGAGACCAGACTTGCCTCCTGGCGGGTGGGGTGACAGGTGTGCACCAACACACTGGCAACTGTTGCTTTTCAAACAGTGCAGAACCATGATTTTTGGCACCTCCAGAGTAATCCAGGATAAAACTTGATACATTTCCACAATTAAAAATTATAACTAAATAGATTAAAGAGCTAATGAACTAGTCATACCCACTAGGAAGGCAAAAGGGAACCATGAGGGATGGTTTGAAGCGCAGAAGCAGGGCAGGGCTAGAAGAAACTGGCTGATCTCAGAGTCAAAGAGGAGGAAGCAAACCATGGAGCCAGCAGGGAGCAGAGGGAGCTGGAGGCAAGACGAGGTGGGGTGGGAGCAGCCTGATGCCCTGGAATTCAGCTGGCAGCAGGAAAGGGGTGCCCAGAGGATGTGGCCTTGGCCCCTGCCTGTGAGACGAGACCACGAAAAGCTTCCTGTGGGGAAGGCAGGCGCATTTCAGGTCCATCTTTTAGTGACTGATTAATGGTAAGGCTACTGGTTAGAGTATTAGGAGAGAAAATACAAACAGGCAAATATCTGTGTCATTACAAACACTACACAATGGTTTCTTAGTTTTGGGGGGTTTTTTTTTTGCGCTTTGTTTTGGTATTAGAGATTAAACCAGGGGCTGGGGATTTAGCAAAATGAAAAACGAAAAAAAAAAAAAAATCTACCTAGAGATTAAACCTACTGTTAAATTCCCAGTCTTTTCTTTATTTTTTATTTTAAAGCTGGGGTTGTGCCAAGTTTCTTTTTTATCGGTACCAGAGATTGAACTCATGACTGTGGGCTTGCAAGGCAGGCGCTTATGCTGCTGAGCTAAATCCCCAGCCCCTAAGTTTCTATGTTGCTCATGCAGGGCAGGAACTTGTGATCCCCCTGCCTCAGTCTCCCAGAGTGCTGGGATTACAAGCATGTGCTATTATACCTCTATTTTTACTGGCATTTTTCACTAAATAAGTACTGGCTATTTTGTGGCTCATTCCATGATTAGAAACTAAATTTACCATTTAAGAAGAGAAGATCACTAAATTAGCAGGTGCGGGTTCCAGAACCTCACTGGTGTCTGAACAAATTTGAATTTGTGACTGATTTTCAAGGGTTAGGGTTAGGTAACGGCTAAATATAATTCGGTGGGTTAAGACAGTCATGACCAGGATTCCTGCAGTATTATGTGTTGCGTAAGTCTCTGTTATTCATCACAGTCCCTGAAACAAATCCTTACACAACCAAAGGGACTGGAGTGCAGATGAATATGAAGTCCCCCTCCCGTCTCACACACACACACACACACAGACCACCAGCCCAGAACACATCTCCCTACCTGCGATGGCGGGGAGGTGGAGAACGAAGTGGTGCACACTTCCTGAGAGTCTTCCACCGATGGGTACGCTCCACCAGCTTCCTCGCCAGCAGTTCTGTGGAGGGGAACAGAAACGGAGAGCTTTCTAGGTTGTATAAGGATGGGGGTCATGTCAGAAACTGTTTCAGGTCGTTTATAATGCCGGATAGTGACATAGGAATCACTTAATGATTTACCCAGGATAGTCCAGAAATTACTGGCACTCTTGCACTCTCCAGTAGCTTGCTACACAGAACACCATTTCCATCAAAATGCAAATGCCCAATGTTTTCTCACACATCCTGTGTGCCCCACTTTGTAATGTATCTAACTGGGAGCAACAAGAAAGGGACGCAGCCCCTCCATTTCTGTCCAGGAGGTACACGGACACGCTGGCTCCACTGTGGATTGGGAGGTGCCACCTACATGCCTCACCTGTAACTGCACGGGTGTCTGGGAGAGGAGCTGGGGTAGGGGCGGTCCACAAAGTGATCAATGATGATCCCCATGATAGGAGGGGTCCTCTCAAATTGCCTACAAAACAAGCAAAATGCAGTTTAAAAAGCAGTGAAATTATTTGCACCAGGATAATAGGAAAAATGACTTAAAAGCATGTCAGGAATCAGCACCTTTAGTAGGCTCAAATTACAAAAGTGAAAGGCTGTGCCTTTCCAAGAGAGCCCCACGGCAGTGAATTCTAGAAGTGTAGATTCAGTTCAGTGCCAGTCATTTAGGCATGTAGAGGCTTCTGGAACCATGACCCAAGAGGGCCTAATTACTGCTTGCGCTGACACCTGAGCTTGGCATCATCCCCTAGTGCTGATTTTACAGCAATGCCATATGCAAGAGTTGTGGGCTTATGTAAGCCTCTACCCAGATTTCAAAAGGCCTGAGAGGCCAGGCAATGCATGAAGCTAAGACTAAGAGTACAGCGGAGACCATAAAAAACAGCAGAAGCCAGGAATGTGGAACACTGACAAAAGCCACAAGGAATGAGCAAAGCAGCCCAAGAGAGGGACTAAGAAGGCTAAAACCACCAGCAATGCCAACTTTCCAGCACCCTAAAGACCACAGAGGGCCCCTCAGTTTCTATCTGTTGGCCTTTGCTGCAGTCTGTCAGTGTAAGCCACTGACTCTACATTCCAGACATGTTGGCTCGGGACTCCCAAATTCTCCAGTCTGACAATAATGCCCTTTTGCTCGGGAGTTTATTCTTCTGAAGGGGCTGCTTTCAGCACCAGCAAAGCTATGCTGTAGATGCAGTCAGGAGTCTGGGAAAGGTGGGAGCTTCGGCGTTCTGGGGAGAGTTCTCTTGGATTCTAAGGTTCCTCACCTGGTGGACATGAATGCCAAGTTGATTCTATAAGCACAAGAAAGAGTGATGGTGCCCACAGGGGTGCCCACTGTCCCAACACGAACTGTCTGGAAGCCTAGAAGAGAGATATTATTAGCCTTTTTCCAGAGAATGCTGACACTGTCCCTGGCTGTCATTTCTGAACCATTCAGCCTGCTGTACACTCTGGCATTGTTCACTTAGCACCATGAGGGCAGCAGCCTCAATGGTGTGTGTGCGTGTGTGTGCAAATGCACACTGGTGTCTTGTCCTTTTCAATTTATTCAATATTAAGCCAATATGGGTAGAAGAAATGGCACTCGTTTCTGGGTAAAAGTAGGTTCAAAGGGCTAACGATGAGGTCCATGGAACTTTCGGGAAACCCCTGCACCACCTGCGTGCCCGTCTCTTCTCACTCATCTTCCACACCCGGAGGCTGTAACCACAGATTGCTACCGGGAACACAGACCCTCTCTGAAGACAGCACCGCACTCTGACCCATACCTTCTCCTAGGCCACTCAGCTGAACTTCCCCGAAGTATATCCTGTGGGGGGAAAAAGAAATGTTACCTCTTTCTATGATGGGATTTCAAAGTACACTTACCAGGAGAGAAAAATACATAAATGAGTTTGACACACAGACCTTTAACTGCTAATGAAAGGTACGATTTATGATAAATAGTCTTTGATTAAGAGGAGTTCTGCCTCCTTGTAACAAGTCATTTCCAAATAAGTAGGTTAAGAAAGTATAAAATCTTGAGTTGGGTATGGTGGCACATGCCTATAATCCCAGGTCTCAGGATGCTGAGGCAGGAAGAGTGTCTGAATTCAAGTTCAGTCTGGGTACACAGTGAGTTAAAGGCCAGGCTGAACTATATAGCAAGATTCTGTCAAAAAACAAAATAAAAGGTGCCAGGGATATAGCTCAGTGGCATAGTGCCTGTCTGGCAAGTGCAAGGTCCTGAGTTCCATTACTGGTACCAAAACAAAACAAGCATAACAAAATAAACTCAAATAAAAGCAAAAAAGTTTTTCTACCATGGAATAATTATCTAGGTAAGAATAGTCTGAAAAAATAAAATGAGATATAAGAATATATATATATGGACCCAAGTATGGTGGTCTACATCTGTAATCCCAGCACTCTGGAAGGCTGAGGCAAGAGGATCCAAAGTCTGAGACTTTCCCGGGCAACTTAGCAAATTAGTGAGACTCTGTCCCAAAATCAAAGATAAAAAAGGGGCTGGGAATGTAGCTAGTATAATGGTCCCGGATTCAACACACTGCACCACAAAAAAAAAAAAAAAAAAAAAAAAGAAAAAATTTAGAAAAAAGAACGAAAAGGATAATACAAAAAGAGCGCCCACTTTTTATAGTTCACGATATAAATCATTTGTATCCAAAATCACTTTTATAGGGTTGAACATTCAAGAAGCAACACTGCTCATGGCAGAGATGCAGGATAAGGGAATCCATCCTAGACAACTAGGCTCAAGTTAGCAGCCCGGAAGAGCAATCTGTATAAGAACAAAGGAAAAGGGGGCTCAGCCCCGGGGAGATGTCAGCATTGGAAAGCAGTTTTCTGTTGCGCCTGAATATGTGTCCAGTCATTTTGAAATGGAAGGCTCAACTTCATACTAGTAAAACTCAGGGAAAACAACAACTATCTGTTAAGTCTTAGAAAAATAGGGGTCACGCAGTTGTTGTCAGCGGCTGTTATTGGGAGGTCCTCACCTGCAAGATTCTCCACTCACTCCTCGCTCCAGCCACGGGGCTTCTGCCTCGTGGAGCTCCCAGGGTGTCCATCCTGCTTCTCCCCGACAACAAACTTGTCCTCCCTCTGTTCTCCCACTGCCCTCTTCCTGATACTACTCTACAGCTGTCCACTCCTGCACTTAATGAAACACGTGGGGCTGGAGATTTAGCTCAGCGGCATAAGCACCTGCCTTGCAAGCAGGCAGTCGTGAGTTCGATCCCTGGTACCAATAAAAAGGAAAAAGACCAAAAAAAAAAAAAAAAAAAAAAAAAACAAAACCACACTTAATGAAACACGTGTCAAACTTTGCTGGTGGCTCTGCGGAATCCTCTCACTGCTTAGCTGGCCCAGTGACCTCCGGAGAACAGCAGTCAAGAAAGCCCAAGTGAAAACGCTCGGCTAACTGCTGGCCAGCTTTCTACACCCACAGACAAATAACTGAACACTTAAGCTAAACTAGCAGTTTGTTAGACAAAAAGTTTGAAGCCAGCACTGGACGCAAGTGGTCTGCCCAAGATAGCCTGGTTAGTTGTTGGTTTGTCTTTTTCGGTTCTGAGGTCAAACATAGGGCCTTCAGAATGAGCTACATCCCCAGAAACTTTTTAAAAAATTATCTGTTTAATTTTATTTATTTATGCAAACATCTATACTAAAAGACCATGTCTTGCTAACTTACCCAGGCTGGACTTGAACTCATGATTTTTCTGCCTCAGCCTCCCAAAGTATACCAACATGTCCAGCTAGAATAGCCTGGGTTTGTTTTTTTTTTAAAGTCTTTTTGACACAGGGTTTCAATATACAGTTCAGGCTGCCCTTGAACTCACTTTTTAGCTCAGGATGGCCTTGAACTTGCAGTGATACTCCTGCCTCAGCCTTCTGAGAGTGCTGGGATCATAGGCATGCCACCACACATGTATGTCTTGTTTTAGGGGTTTTTGTTTGTTTGGGGGGTTTTTTTGGTACCAGGGATTGAACTCTTGACCTTGTGTTTGCCAAGCAGGCGCTTAGGCCACTAAGCTAAATCCCCAGGCCCCTTATGTCTTGTTTTGTAAGAGCTTCAGCTTCTTTTCTAATCTCAAAAGTCCACTAGAGCTGGGGCCCATTATGGAGGATGGGAATCGATCATAGTGGCTATCGCACCAATAACCAAGTAATGAGCTGTGCACATGATCACAAAGCACCTGAAGGCCAGGAGGCAGTGTGCAAAGGGATGAACGTCCACATTGCTCACCTGTACAAAATGACGTATTCGTGCCCTTGTTTTCTGGACAGCCTGTATGCTGGTGTCACCCGGGTTATAGCAAGAAGAGACTTGAGCAGCAGGGACAGTCTGTTGTAGACGGTATAGGAAACTTTGATTTCTTTATCACACCTGAGGGGCACACAGATTTGGTTAGCATCTCCCATGAACTACTGGAACTGTACATCTTTATGATTTAATAATGTGAACTAAAGGAACAACTGGAGTTGTCTATATATGCACACATTGTCTTTTTGACATAGCCACCTTTCTATGTAGTGCAGGCTAGTCTTGATCTCATTATGTTTTGTTTTTGTTTTGGTACCGAGGATTGAACTCACAACCTCATGCTTGCCAGGCAGGTGCTTAGGTCACTGAACCAAATCCCTGGCCCTGATCTCACGAAGTTGTTCAGGCTGGCCTCAAACTAGCCTCGACACACCTGCCTCAACCTCCTGAGTGCTGGAATTATAGGCATGTGCTACACCCCAGCCCATAGATTACTGAAGGAAACCAAAGTTTTACTTTTTCACGCCCTACACAGAGAAACAAGCAGGAAAATCCACCGAGTATGTTTTGATGTAGTTTAGAAGTGGCTGCCATACTAAGCAATAAAATAAAGCAACACACTTAAAATCAATAAATACATACTGCAATTACATATACTAAAGGTGTAGACATGATTTCAATATGCAACCACATGAGCTAACTCTCTAGCGGAAATCTGGAGAAGTCTGTTTGGCATTAAAACTCTACCATAATCAGGCAATTGTTCTCTAAGAAAAAAATCGTGCTCACACTACATGTATTTATCACTAAGGGTTTCTTTGATGGGTTGGTATTTCCCTCAATCTTCCTATAAAGTCTACTTCAAAACCGATGCTTCAGCCGGGGTAAACTGAGCTGCTGTAGAGGAAGAAAGTGGGGCAGGGGCATAAGTGGCATCTCTGATCCCCGGCAGACACCGGGTATTGGGGGCAGTGCAGGGAAATCTTATTGGACGACTGCCACGCCGAAAACAGATGAAACAGAATGATCATGTTACACACTGAGGGACTGAGTCAGAGGGTGAGTTGTGCTATGGACAAACAACAAATCCTTGTCAGTTCTCCCCGCTGCTCCTCTCCCTGGCTGCGGCCGCGCAGGTCCCTGAGGACTGACCTCTCTGTGAAGGTCACTCGGTCCCCAGGCCGGAAGCCAGGCATGGCGTGCAGAGTAGCAGACACAGCTCACTTGGCCCCGGGAAGCCAGATGCCTCACTGCCTGGGAACAAAGCCCTGCTCTCACAGGATGTCACCCGCTGTGTCCTCAGCTGCTGCGAACCCAGGAACCCCAGACAGAAGCACTTACTTTTCATTCATTTCAAGACACCAAATCTCCAGCTCCATGGAATCTCCCTGCAGAGGGGACAATTGAGAAACTTTTCAGTGGTTAAAAGCTACCTTGTTTTTTATTATAAAGCATTATGCAATCACTGTAAAAATACTGGATGGCACAAGTAAGGAAACAAGTAAAAAAGGAAATAAAAACAAGTACCAATTTAACCAGCTGTTTAAAAAGTTATAGCACACTGTATATACCATTGTTACCGTTTTTTTCTTAATAAATACATCATAGAATTTCCCTTAAAGTAAAAATTCCAGCCAAGACTGGTGGTACATGCCTGTAATCTCAACACTCTAGAAAGCTAAGAAAAAAGGATCGAGTTAATCTCAAGTCTCTGCACCATACCTATTTAGCAAGATTCTTTCTCAAGCCTGGAGATTAAGCTCAGTGGCATAAGTACCTGCCTGGCAAGTGTGAGGTCGTGAGTTTGCCCTGGTACCATAAAAAAAAAAAAAAAAAAAGATTCTTTTTCAAAATAAAAATATAAAAAAGGAGTTGGGGCTATACCTCAGGGCAGAGGCCCTGGGTTCGCACTCGATAAACACAAACACACACACCTCAAGACAGGCATGGTAGCCTACACCTATAATCACACTCACCAGGGAGTCTAAGGCAGGAGAACCACAAGTTCAAGGCCAGCCCTTGAACTTGACTTTATCTCAAAATTAAATAAAAAAGTCCTGGGGTACAGCTCATGGATGGTAAGAGTGGCTGTGGTAGCCTGCCCACACACACAAACACACACACTTCCACAATGCTTTTTTCTTCCCCTCTAATTCTACAGGGGATATTTTTAGGTGACATCCACAGTTTAGGGAAGCTGTTGCTTTAGCAAGCTCCTTCCTTAAAAATTTGTCAGCTGTTTGATAATCTCTAACCAAATGTTCCCCGCCACTCTGTGTATTACTCTCCATAGACTTCTAGCAGATAGGTGAGAAAAAGATGAAAGCCAGAATCCATCAATCTTGTAACATTCCTGCCTGTGATTTAAAAGAAAGACAGCCCCACACGTTTGCATACAAGTGACCTTTTTATTAATCAGGTGGAAAAGCACTCTTCTCTTAGGTATGGGAGTCTATGAAAGTGAGAGCTTTTACTGTAGATCAAACTTATGTGTCTATTTTAATAGAATCTTACTGTTCTCGTCTTACTTTTGTAGTGGGGGGATCAAAACTAGGGTCTTACACATGCAAAGGGTTCTGCCCCTGAGCGACAGCTACAGACCTGTTTTATTTTGAGACAGGGTTCCAGAATGCTGCCCAAGCCGGTCTTGACCCCTTGTTCTCAAGCAGTGCTACTCTTTAGCTGCCTCAGTAGGGAAATCATAGGGCCAGCTCCCTCCTACTACACACACAGCCTCACAGTGTGTGAGTGGGAACAGATTAACAAGCAGGTAAGTATGGGAGTAATACTCGGCGCAGCCAGGCACAGTGGTGCAGGCCTGTAGTCCCAGCACTTGGAAGGATTAAGCAAGAGGATGGCCATGAGTCTGAGGCCAGTTTGGGCTGAATAAGTGAGTTCAAGGACAGCCTGAGCTAGTAGTGAGACTCTGTCCCAAAAAATAAAAACAAAACAAGTCAAAAACAAAAACAGGGGCTGGGGATTTAGTTCAGTGGCACAAATGTCTGCCTAGCAAGTTCAAGGTCATGAGTTTGATCCTCACCAAAACAAAACAAAACAAAACCTGGCTCAATGTGGACCAGAGTGAACAAACATATTTAAAAGATTACAGTAAAACTGAGTGTGGAAGTACACACCTATAATCCTAGCACTCTTGGAGCCTAAGGCAGGACAACAAGTTCAAACCCAGTTTGGGCAATTTAGCAACACCTGTTCTCAAAACAGAACATAAAAAAAGGTTGGGGCCAGGCTTAGTGTCACACACCTGTGGTCCAGCACTTGAGAGGCTGAGGCAGGGGGATCACCACAAAGTCAAAACCAGCCTGAGCTATATACAGCAAGATCTTGTCTCAAAAAACAAAACAGGGCTTGGGATTTAGCTCAGTGGCATAAATGCCTACCTGGCAAGTATGAGGTCCAGAGTTCAATCCCAGGTACCAAACAAACAAAGATTAAAAAAAAAAAAAAAAAAAAAAACAAAGAAAAGGACGGGGATATAGTGCAGTGTGAAGGCCCCGAGTCCAAATGCAGGGTACTGCAAAAAAATAAATAAATAAAATAGTATTTATAAATGAGGTGCCACAAAAAGTCTGAAGAAAGAAGTTGACTCTCTTCTCTAAACAGAAAGGTTTTCTAAAGCATATGGGTCAAAGAATGAATGGAAAACTGTCATTACAGAAGAGTGCAAAGAGCCCATTTTCATAATGCTGGAGTAAGTAGAAAAGCCAGGCCTGAGGACTAAAGTTATTGCCTAGCACACATGAGGCCCTGGGTTCAATCCCCAGCACCACCAAAGGGACAAACCAGGACTTCAGAAAACAAGAAGTTCAGAGAAGGAAGACGCAGGACTACGGCTGAGAAATGAGCTGGAAGCAGAGGGTGGGCGCGGCTGTGAGGGCAGTCCCCTTACCTCAGAGGTCTTGAGTGAGATCTCCACACACATGGACCGCCCGACAGCAGGCAGCTGCCCCGCCAGGGCCTTCTTTGCTTCATGGGTGACCTCTGGGATGTCTTTGATTGCTAAGTTAAACTACAAGACAAAAGGGACCCAGGTATGAGACCCTGGCAAGGAACACCAGGGGACCAGAAAGTAGTCTGTTGGGCAACGCAGACACTGCTTGGGCTCACACCAAGGCCTCAAATCTTAAGTCAAAAGGGTTGAAGGTTAGGTACTCAGGATGACCACCAGATAACGAGGCAGGACAAAGCCTTCCGTTTGTCTCAGCAGAAAGCCAGCACCCAGATACATTCAGGACTAATCTCAACAAGGAATATACTTTCTGAGTAAATGGATCAAACAGAATCAGGACAAAGAAAAAAAAATTGGGGCTGGGGATTTAGCTCAGCGGCATAAGCGCCTGCCTTGCAAGCAGGCAGTTGTGAGTTCGATCCCTGGTACCAATAAAAAAAAACCCAGAATCAGGTATTTTTCACATCACAACTTAGTACTACTATAAGGCATGCACTTAATTACTGAACGTGACAACTTTACATTTTTTTTTTGTGATGAATATGATAGCATATATACCCCTCCACTCAGCAAAAAATAGGAATTTTACCCAATCTGAACCCGTCGGGGATGAAGATGAACGAGTGCAAATCTTTTCACCAAGTCGAGCCTGGACAATCACTTGCACAGTCTGAAAGACAACCACCAACAAGAAAACAATGAAAAAGGCCTGTGGATGCAGCGAGCAGTAGAAGCCAAGTCCCGGGTTTGAGCTAAGGCCTGCCAAAAAAGGTGTGGCTCCTTACAAAGGTTAGAAACCTACCACTGAAGGGTTAAACAGGCGGCAAGGAATCATAATTCTACTCCAGGAAAGGATAAAATTTTAACAGGAACAGACAAAAAAAATCATCTAAAATCCAGCTTTAGTTCTCCACTGACGAGGAGAAAGGTGGACACTGTACTGTCCGCTGAAGCTTAGGGATGTTGCAATGGCTGCCATTCTGGTCCCATTCTGTCTTTGTTCCCACCACGAGGGAGCACACAGTGACAAGAAGAATGGTCTACAAATAGTCTCCCACAAAAAATTGTGAACAAGTAGCTGTGGAAAATTGGAAGTGCCTTTGCAGTCACACCCCCATCGTTCACAGTTTGGTTTACAACAAACAGAAGTAGCCCTTAAAATGGGCAAGCTGCAATCTGTTATGTTCCACTTCCAAAGAGGATTCTGCACAGGAGCCTCCTGAAACCAGAATGGCCACATTACCTTGAGGGCAAAAAACTTAATGAACTTGTCCAGGTCCTTTCTGTCCTGCGAATTGAGATCAGTTTCCATTGCCTATCGGAATCTGTAACAGAAAAGGCAGTGATGAGAGCTGATCAATATATCTACAAAGGGACTGTTACATAGAAGCATGCACTAGCTGTTCAACAGTCACATGGAAATGGGACACAAAAGACTTCCTGTAGCTAAAGATACCAAGGAGAAAGTATTCTGGTACTCTTTCTTAAGGACAATAAATTCCAAAATTCCACACAGAGAGCTATAGTTAGGAACCTAAAAAATAGATGAGGACATTTTTACCTAATTTTGAAACTTTGAGCTTTAAATGTAATTTATCTATTTAAAACTTTTATTATCTGGGGCTGGGGATTTAGCTCAGCAGCATAAGCACCTGCCTTGCAAGCAGGCAGTCGTGAGTTCAATCCCTGGTACCGATAAAAAGGAAAAAGACAAAAAAACCAAAAACCTTTATTACCCACTGTATTTAACCCCAAGGATTTGTGGTGTTATTCTTCTTTCCCAGTCCTGGGAATGAACCAAGACCTTCTTACTGAGCTGCAGCCACACCCCCACCCTGTTCTGAGACAGGGTCTTGCTATGTAGCCCGGGGGTGGTCTTCAACTCCCAGCAACCCTCCTGCCTCAGCCTCGGAGTAGCAAAAAGGGCTGGAGCATGGCTCAGGAATGGCCCTGTGGTCACTGCCTGGTCACATACACACCTGAGAATGAAACGATGCTGAAGCTGGGGATGTGGTTCAGTGACAGAATTGTTGTCTAGTGTGCCAAGACCCTGGGCTCCATTCCCAGCAAAAAAAACAAAAGATTCAGGGCTGGGGATTTAGCTCAGCGGCATAAGCGCCTGCCTTGCAAGTAGGCAGTCGTGAGTTTGATCCCTGGTACCGATAAAAACGAAAATGAAAAAGACAAAAAAAAAAAAAAAGAAAAACAAAAGATTTGTAACACAACATAAGATGAGTTAATTTAGGTTATATCATTTGGTCACTAAATCAACTGAACTTTTAGGGGTTACAGACTCCTCTTTTCCAGATTGCATCTAATTTCAAGCTGGCACACACACCAAAAAAAAAAAAAAAAAAGGCTAGTCCTGGGTCTTCTGAAGCACATTATCACTCCCCCCAGGCTAAAATGGACTGAGACAGGCTGTGATCAAGAAGAATGCATTTAGGGCAGGAGCAGGGACAGGGTGGTGTAAGCATCAGAGGCAGATGCCCTTAGGAACCTAAGCATCCACGTTTCCCCAGGCACAGGCTGGGGAGGCCGGGGTCATCCACCTGTGCCCAGACCCAGGCTGCAGTGCACAGGATCCCGCCTACCACGGGGGCAGCGGCCTGGACGCAGCCTGCTCCAGGTATGGGAGCTGTCAGGTCATCTCCGCAGAAGGGCACTGTGCAGACAGCTCTGCAGGGTGGAGGAAAAGCAGTTAGGTCCCTGGCGATGGCTCAGGCCTGTGGTCAAGGCTGGAGCACCAGCAGGGACACTCCTTGGGAAACAGGAGAGACGGGGCTAACAGGATTTAAGGACTGCACAAAGCACAGACAGGAACAGCAGGATTTTAAATGTGGGTTACAGAGGAGCGAGTTTAATAAAGTTTCCCTTCACAACGACTAGAACAAAGCAGGGAAGAAAGCGGGGAGTCGGTTTTAAGGAAAAGGATAGAAAGGAGAGAACCGAGAAAAACAAAGAGAATTAAGACGTGTTCTGTGCACACATGGACTCCCTCATGAGTGACTGCGTTACAGTGAGGGGAGGCTGCTGACAATGTGTCCTCTACCGTGATTCATTTATTTTCCAAACTGGCCCTGCACTAACAGACAAGGGCAGGTCCATCAGTAGAAGAATGCAGGTCACAACCTGCCCGCAGGCAGCCCATGAGGCCAACCTAGTTTCTCCAGTGAGCAGCCAGGAAGTCGGTCACCACACTGCTCTGAACCACCAGGACTTGATTAACACAACCAATTTCTGTCCTATTTCCAACCAATCTGCCTGGAAAGCTGAGATTGTAGCCCCAGCCCATGACATCGGATGCGGCTTCCCACAACGACACATCCACTCCGGGACACCTGAAACATTTCTCTTTCCAAGCCAGTTTCTTTGCCTCAGAATCTGCCAAATGCAAGCACCAGCAGCTTGCTCTGAATTGCCTTTGCTTGTCCTCATTTGAGTGTTATTTCTACATTAAAAACAGCTTTATAGATGTGTAACTGACAAACATACTTAAAATGTACAATTTGATTTGTGTCATGCACATCACTACAAAACTGTCAACACATTCATCATCCCCCTCATTCTCCTTCTCAAATCTCCTCCTCTAGCCATACCTTAATGCAGTCTTTATACCTAAAAAAACCTTGATACACACTTGTAATCCCAGAACTTGGGAGGCTGAAGCAGGAGGATCCCAATGAGTTTGAGGCCAGCCTGAGCTACATAGCTAGACCCTGTCTCATCAACACCAACCGAAACCAAAAAAATTATGATTCCTCTCTGCATTTCCCAGAATCTTATACCAGGTTAAGTGACATAGTTTGTCCCCTTTGTCTGACATCCTTCATACAGCATAATTATTTTGAAATTTACCCATGCTGTGTTGTGTGTCAATAGTTTCTTTTTATTGCTGAATACTAGTGCTCCTCAGGAGTCATCTGATGACCAGAAATTCTTTTAATAAACCCAATTTCAATCTGTTCTTTGATAGTTAGCACTTTTTTACGTTCCAATAAACAAATGTTTGCTGATGAAGTTATTCTCCTATATTTTGTTTTAGAAGTTTATGTTCCACCTTGCAAGCAATTAATTCTGCAGCAGACATCTAGTAGGTATTGTTATAATGCCTTCTTCCTCCAACGCAAACTGCGAGCCCCAAGGTGTTTTACTGGTACATCTGACTTTTTGGTTAGGAATTGAGGCTCCCACAGTGCTCTCCTCAGGGAGCTATACTATTGGTCAGCCCACCATAAAGGATGTTACAAAGGACAGGGATGAGATGCATATTGCAAGGTATCAGGACTGGATGCAGAACTTGGGGCTCCTCTCAGCACCCCAGCCCCACAAACCTCCACATGGCCACTATCTGAATGCTTCCCTGAGCCCCATCCTCCGGTATTTGTTTTTTCCAGGGAAAGCTGATTGCACAGACATGACTGAAGCATGCTTGACCACGTGGCATGGTGACTGGCCATTAAGTGTGACCTAATGCCAACAGCCAGCCGAGTGGGAGCCAGTGAGGCCTGCCTGCTCAGCTTCTACCCAGCCTCTCCAGGCAGCCTGCCCTGTGGGAGGGGCTGGGACAGTACCCCTGGAAATGGGAGTCTTGGGCCGCACTACTGGACATGGCAAGTCAGATGGCAAATTTCTTTGTGGGAGCAGCCACAAGGCAGGGCGAGATGAGAGAAAATCAGGTTTCAATGACCTACAATGAGGAGACAAAAGAGCAGATCAAAGGAAGACAGAGATCAGAGAGCCAACTTTCTGAGGCCTTATATGCTCATCATCATTCTAGTCCCTTGGAAAATACAGTTTATGGAAATAATTAGGAACCATAGGTGAAGCCTCTGAAGTACAATGCGTGTATTTCATAGGATGCTTATTATTTCAACCAGCTGATCAGCTCAGTTTATTTAACAGATAAATTGGAAACACTATAAGATCAGTCTGAAATTGCCAAGTCTGAAACTAAGAGGAAAAGCTAAGACTGAGAATAAGGCAGTCACAGATAATTTCCAAAAGAAGGGGTGCTGGGGAGCTGGGTATGGTGGTTCACTGGGAGACTGAGCAGGAGGATTGCTGGCGACACATTGGGTTCAAGGCCAGACTGAACTGTATAGACCTTGTTTCAAACAAACACACACACACACACACCCCTAGCTCAGTGGCAGAACACTTGCCCAACAAGTGGAACGCTCTTGGTTCACTCCCCAGCATCAAGAAAAAGATCCACCCATCTTTTGGTGTTTGTCTCTGCTTTTGTTCAGCTCTTTTGGTCTACAAAGCCACTCTTCCAGCTGGACGTGGTAGTGCACACCTGTAATCTCAGCACTCCAAAGGCTGAGGCAGGAGGATCACCATGAGCTCAAAGCCAGCCTGAACCAGAGACCCTGTCTCAACAACAACTCTTTTGCTCGGCTCAGGGCACTTATGTTATTTTTTAGAACAAAGTTTTGTTCAATTTGCACATGTAAAATAAAGCTCATTAGGAATCTAATTGTAAATTCATCCTCTGGAAGCGTTAAATACTTCCAAGTCCAGAAACAAGACAGCAACCTTATTTTTTAGTAAAAAACAGAACTGCTTTCTTACCACAAGGACATTTAGCGATGCAAGCATCATAATGACTTTTGTGACATCCTGTACAATGGGTAGCACAAAAACAATTATGTTACCCCAGCTACTGCCCTGAGAAGGGTGGTGGTTTCTACGGCAGAATATGTTATCTCTTGGCTTTGCTTTTTGCAAAATTCCCTTTTGAAGTACTCAAAGAAACACACAGGGAAATTGGATTCAAACATTTAAGGAAATCTATAACACCAGTGAGTTATTAAATCCTGTTATGCAAAAATCTTCTGTTTCCACAGACACCGCAGTAACCCAGGTTTTCTGGTTTTTGTCATATGGAGAATTGAACCCAGGCCTTTCACACTGGCCTACATGTGTAGCCCTTTTTTTATTTTGAGACAGTGTCTCACTGAGTCACTAACTCACCCAGGATGTGCTTGAACTTGCCATCTTCCTGCCTCAGCTCCCAGGATGCTGGGACTACATAAAGGCCCGCACCACCACCCTTGGCTAGATCTTCAAATTCTTCCCTTCTTCCTAATAATGGGCTGAATTTAAATTTACCTGAGATACTTTTTACCTTGTTTACATTACTTTTTGCCCTAAAGATACATCCTAAATACTATGTATAATTTTGGATTACTTATAAAAAATGTTGTGGCTCCCACTCACTGCGCACTTGATTAAATTTATCAACTGACATCTTTTCTACAAAGGCTTCACTGGGTCTAAAATATACATCAGACATTCTAGACATAATGGTCTCACAAGT